TATCAGAAAAAATGGCTGCAATGAGGCAATATGTACATAATAAAACTTTGTTCCCATTTCAATATAGCAATTTTTCTTTTAGGATTAGCAAGTGTTTATAGAATTATCCGAAAAAGTCATAGAAACACAAAAAGATTTAGTTACCCAGATATTCCTCATAGCTTTGTTTATAATATTGAAAAATTTGAATATGGATTAATTAAATTTGGCAAAATTAACAGGGCAGTATTATATAGCCATTAAAATAACACTAGAATATTAATAACATTGAAAATGCTTGTAATACATTGTCAAGTATAAAAAGCAGCTTACCAGTTTACCTACAATTTGTTTTAACATGTTTTCTGTAATAAAAGTGTATTTCTTTTCTAGTAAGAATTGCTTTCCTATAAAGGCCAAAAAATCACATTATCTATCTCCTTCTGTGTCAATGCTATACTTCCCAAGCAAACTCCTCATTACCAACCTCTTTTTCCTAGGTATTTCCATCACAGAAAAGGGATGCCCTGAACTGGAGAAGTTAACACTCCATAAATTGCAAAATGCTACCTCCTACTGTAGATTTCTGGTGATGCATAAAGCCTAGAAGGAAATTAGAAGCTATCAGAGATGGATACAGAATGGTTGATAGGGAAAAAAATAATGCTAGGAGTAAAGTATGAAAGTCAGGGATCTCTAAAAGCAGCTATGATATGGTCAAAATATATTTACAAATAAGTTTGTAAAACTGTGAGTCCTGGATGATGAAAAGTAGTAAGAAGGTAATTCTTACCACAATGAAGTATGGGTGAAGGCTACTGACAAAACACAAAATCTACAAAAGAACACATTAAAAAAAGAGGTTTAGCTTCTTTTCTAACTAAAAAAATGCAAACTAAACATGTTAAAAACCTTATTTTGACATACAATTTTCTATTCTGCACACAGAGTAGACAGCTTTCTACTGTCTGATTTAGTTCTCAGAGTCCGTCCTAGCCTGAATCCTCTCCTGCATTGGTTGTCACGGTGCCTCCTTTTCAACTATTTGGGTCAGACCAGATTTAAATGCCTGTTACTATCAATGAACACAGGTTATTTTGAACAAAATCCCTAGTCAACATCTTAAATACTACGATTTTAGGTCAATTTTAATCGGGGGAAGAAATGTTTAAAAGGGTCAAGGCCTGGGAGATACTCTGGACAACCAGAGCCAGCCCAAAGGTACTGGAAGCCAAGAAGACATACCAAAGGGAGGCGAGATCCAACGCCAGTGTAGACTGACATGTCAGGGCAAATTTATGTCACAATTCTCTGCATTCTGAAAATAAGTAACTTGAGTACATAATAACTGGAGCCTTCCAGGCACCATATGAACTTGCTTACTCTACACAGAAAAATCAATCTGAAAATAGGTAATTTAAGTACATAATAACTAGAACATTCCAGGCGCCATATGAAGAATTTGCTCACTCTACGCAAAAAAATAAACCTGTATTTCCTGCCTCCTACTGTATACAGGGTTGGCAAAAGTAGGTTTACAGTTGAGAGTATGCAAAAGTTTATTCTTGTATTATTTATTATTGTATTATTTTCCATACAAACTGTAAACCTACTTTTGCCTGACCTGTAGTCTACAAATTAAAGATCTCTTTGTGAAGGTACCATTCTAAAGCAAATAGAAAAAAGTGTAGATTATTATTATGATTTTGGGACAGGGTACGACTTTTTAAGTAAGACCCACAAAACACAATGAATCAATAAATTAATGGATTTGACTACATTGAACTAAATACCCTTGTTCAACAAAGGACCTCATAAATAAAATTTATAGATGGGAGATGGACTGTGGAAAATGACTTGCAACATTTAAAATGGATAAGAGGTATTTAGAACATGGGTTGTTCTGTAAACAGGTAATTAGTAGATATTTTAGGTTTTGTAGGCCATATTTCTGTTGCAACTGCTCAACTCTGCTGTTGTAGCATGAAAGCTGCCATAGACAACACATAGATGAAACGGATATGACTGTTCCAATAAAACCTTACTAACAAAAATAGGTGGTAAGCAGAATTTGGCCTGCAGGCTGTAGTTTGTCAACCCCTACTGTAGAATATACAAGAAATTCCTGACTCAGTAAGAACAATTTAGAACACTCAAAGGAAAACCAGGGCAAGGATATCAATGAGCCATTGGCAGAATAAGAAATCCAAATGGCTAAACAAGTATATGGATGTGCAACTTTATTAATAATCTGAACAATGCAAATTAAAAAGAAATTCCATTGTTCACCCAACAGATTTGTCAGAACATGAAAGTCAGGGAACTGAGGTGGAGGTAAGGGTGTGGGAACACATGGCACCCTTGTGCCTTGCCGATGAGTGTCAGTTACACAGAGCTCTTCTGGAGAGCTATCTGGAAGTGCTCAGTGAAATGAAGTAGGTCTTTCCTTACTCCAAATAAAGGAGAGCTCTTTGATAAAGGGCGGCAAGCAACCTTGTAACCACACACGATACTTTACTTTGTAATTAGAGGCAATTCACATCAGTTTTATTTTTCTCATTTCAATAATAAACAAAAACACCATCATAGACTGTCACCAGTCTACAGACGTTAGAAACTTTCTACCAATGTGCGTTAGACATGAGGAAAATCTTAATATTCTTAGAGTCTAATTCTTCCACAATTTAGAGTTTGATATCTTTAAGAGAACTGGCTTTATGAAGCCTGATTAATGGAATGCAAAATTCACATGAAATAAAGTGAGACTTCAATTTTACAGGGTTCTACTCTTGGGTCCTTCTGGGTTTTCCCTCCTCTACAGTGTGAGAAACACTTCAGTAGGAAAATTTGAGAAACAGTTAATAAGCAGGGACAATTTTTGAGTATCAATCTTTAGCTAAATAAAATTAAGGTATAAGGGTGTTTTTCCCTCTCTCTAATGGGAAATTAAATTACGCAAACAATGTAACCTGCTTGGTAACTACAACTGCAACTTCCTTTAGCCATTTTTTTCTGCCTCCACCCTGAGTATAATCTATTGTAGCAAGAAGTTCTGCAATAAAGGCCTTCCTCTCATTGAATTCATTTGCCATGGTTTGATAAAATATACAATGGATTATTCAAATTAGTGTGGCCTAAACAGTAAGAGTAGTTTGCAAATGCACTGATTAAAAAGGCTTATTGTCTCAAAGACAGTATATCACAGGCTTTATGTTAAAGGTAAATTTGTTATTCCACTCTATTCCGGTGCTTAGAACCACTTCAGAGTTGAAATAGTTGAGGTCATGGAAACATTTTCCTTTCCCATCTCTTATCACATGTTCATTTCAAGGTTCAATTATACGAAAGCATGTGTGTACTACTGTTTGATCAGTCATTAAAGGAAAAGTGGTTTACATTGAATTGCACACTTTAAACGGGTGAACACTGTGGTATTTAATTATATCTCAATTAATTAAGGTGCTGATTAAAAAAGGTGGTTTCGATAGCCAGTTACTTAGTCTTGCGGCTCTTAACTATAGTACAATGGGATCACAGGCAGGAAAGGAGTGGAATGAGGTTAGCCAGTCAGGAACTGGGCTGCATTTCCAGCCTATTTTATCTGGCCCTCAGGAACCTAGAAAGAGAATGTGCGCACGGGCATGTGTACTCACGGGAGAGAGGCAGGCTTTGTGAACAAGGGAGGGAGCACTATGGCAAAAGGTCAAGAAGAACCAAATGTTACAGTTGAAAGAGTTTTCTTTTACCAACTCCTATAACCATAGGCTAACTTAAAGAAAACTTCCGTCAGACACTAACAAAAGGAAATGATAGCCCTCTCTCTTCATCCAGAAACACACCAGTTGGAAAACGGTAGCGAACGCAGGATTCCCATTCAAAAGACTTCTTTCCATGGCCTGCAACAACTTTGGCATGCAGACTGCTTCCGTGGAAACTGAAGGCTGCTTTTAGAATCAAGAATTTAAAAAGAACTAAGATCATACCGTATGTAAAGGGAAGAATTTTGACAGAAAAAGAATACAAATAGTTTTTAAAAAGACAACACATAGATGATGATAAAACATAGAATGCTGGTACACGTTTATTTTTTTATTGCTATACATCAAATGCCAGCAACTCTGGTATCTTCAAGTTAAACCTTAAGAATGAATTACAGCACAGTCAAAAGATTTAGAGAAAAAAATCTCTGTGCACCATAAGTATATGGACATTCAATAAATACCATAGGACAAACTGATGACTGAGGGCCACAGATCCATGACGCACATGTTTACAATTAACTGTTAGAACAGACAATGACCTACAAGAGTGATTATCAAAAGGTCGAGTTTAACAGTATGTCTTTTCAAACTGAGATGCTGAAAAGAATATATACATTTTTTACAGACTGTAGGTGATTTTTAAAAATCCTCAAAAATGTAAACAATGCAGAGCAGGAACACTGAAAATAAAATTTTGTTGAACAAAATGACAACACAGAAAGAACACTTTCTTCAAATTCCCAAGATAATTCATTTTTCTAATTGCTCGACAGAAACCAAAATGGATTATTTTCATAAAGATAACATACCAGAGACACAGAGACCTTCCAAGTTATTTTTTTATGTTAACATGTATTTACAGTAAATATTCAACAGTTTTTATAGCTTAAATAGTTACATGCTTTCTTAATCCATAAATACACTAATCATCATCCATTCAACCACGTAAGTATTTATGATGTCTCATGCACTGTGTCAGGGGTGCAAAGATGAGTGTGACATGGTCCTTGCTCTAGAAGTGCCCACATTCAAGCTGAAGAGATAACACATAATGTTTCTTTCCTTTCTTATATAATGAAGCCATTTCTATACAAATGGGACTGATCTGCTCACTACCCTAACAGAATGGTTCCCAAATCTTGACCCTATGGAGCTACCAAAAAAAAAAAAAAAAAAAAAAGATGTTTCATTTTTTTTTTCCCATCCAGAAAAAAAAAATTAATGGGAAGGATTTCCTCTATTAAATTTTTATCAGTTTTAAAAAAACTGACCTACACATATACAACATTTTCATTAGTAAACTGCTTACTTCATGTAATTGAATTCATTATGCAAGTATTTTGTGGTACCCCCCAAGGTCCACCTGAATAGGTCTGAATATTATTCTGCTGATACACTTTGATCCTGAATGACTGTCTGCCTACAAATAGAAGAAATGCCCTTTTCCTGGGATAAACCAATAATTTGTATGGTTTTAGCAGTGGTAATAACTGATCACCTCAAGTCATTTATTAAATGTTAAAATCATACTCAATACATAAATTTGTTTAAGAAGGCAGGCAAACGTGTAATACAATCTACAGAGTTTGTTAAAAACGATTAAAAAGTTTTAGTGCCTAAACAGTAAGTCAGTGATCTGAAAAAGCTGAACTCCGTGGAAAACCTCACTTAGTGAAGAAGTTGGATACATGACTGTTGGTGTTCCTGAGTGTATGAGAGAAGCACGCAGGTGTAATCAAAGAAAAGCATGCCCATACACTTCTAAGACCACAGTGGCCTGCTGACTTTCCAAATCTCCTAGGGTTGCATCTCCCTGGGAATTAGGCGGGGCTTTTTCAGGCACAAGAGTTGGTTCCTGGGCTCTGGCAAATTCACGTTTACGCTCACATCTAGCCATTCTCACTGTACTACCAAGTCTTCTGTGGACCCACTGAGGTAGCTTAGGAGAAAGACGGAAAGCCAGGACTAGATGTTTTATTACCCAACACAGAGAAACATGGGAGCCGCTGGTGAGGACAGATCATAGCTGAGCTTTAGGTAGTTGCTTCTTGAAGGCAGGAACCCAGGAGCTAGGACCCAGCTAGCCCCAGCAGCATGAGAGAAAATGTCTGCCCTGGAAGGGTCCTGAGCTTCAGAGCTCTGTGGAGAATGGAAGCCAGGACTGCGGAGGCCCTGCGACGTCTTGTGATCTGTTGGAAGACGCAGCTCAGTTCTGAGGTTCAGCCCTACCTGCCTCAGCTCACATGCTGCAAGTAGGAGACACTTCCTGCAGCTCATTCTAAATGTCAAGGCTAAGTGCTACTTTGAGGGAATGGGGAACATGTTCTCAAAGAGGTAACTCTTCTGGGGCAAAAAATGTCTCAAGATACCGTGGGCCCTACTTACTACTTTGTCACATATTCGACAAAAATTTTTCCCTTTCCTGTCAGAGATTCTTTGATAGAATTTTGTTAACTTAATTGTAATCAGACCTCGGGTATCAGAGTACAAAACAATACACTACTAAATTTTAAAACTTTTCAAACAAGACAAAGGGCAAGAGATATAGGCCAAGAAAATGCTCACCCTTCTACTTGGCCAAAGTCTGGTCTCCTTCAAATCTGGATTAATGATGCTTTTTCAAGAAGCTTCCCCCAATTAATTCCACCCAACTCTGTTCTCTTTTAAAGTATTGTGACATCAGTTGTAGTCATACCAAATGGTTTAATACGAATCTGCACTTGTTCAGAAATTGTCCCACGAGCATCTGCAGTTTGTAAGTTGTCTTTAAAACTAGAATGTAGTCAAGAACTATATCTTGCATTTCTTCTGTTTGACCCCATCACAGAGTTGAGAAACTCTGGATACACGAGGAGCTTACAAGTTGTTGGCTAAAAAGTAATTTTAAGGGAACAGTTTATATTTCATACCAAGTAATGTTGTCAATATTGCATATTGTAACTCAGAGATTCTGTCAGATGGGCGCAAATATTACCGTGCTGTAACCATCCAGAGTCCCAGGGTCACGTTGGCAGCCAAAAGTACACTGCCCCCAAGCAAGATGAAAAATCCTATCAGATCTTTCACGTCATTGTCTCCAATCACTGAGGTAAGGGTAGCATCGAGGAATGAGTTTAAAATCCACTGTCCATCCAAAGCAAAGCAGGGCACTGCATTAACAATAGCCAGAGCTCCTGAGAGAGAAATCAGGTACCTGGTTAAAATCAGTTAAGGGGCCGACTGTGAGGTCTGAGTGGAAACCGCATTTCTAGGAGTCAGAAGATATCTCTGCCCACCACTACAGGCCATTCCTTCTTAGATATCTACTATTTAAAACAAATGACATATTATTTCAAAGTTCAAAATCCTTGACTAGGAAAATAAAGGTCAACCATTTGTAAACTAAGGTAATCTGTAATGAACTCTTACAAAGACTAAGTCTTTTTAATTTTGTAATGGTACCAAGGAAGAAATGTGGAAGAAATAAGAAATAAAAGAGCTCGGACTGGTATGGCTCAGTTGGTTAAGTGTCATCTAGCAAAGGAGAGAGCGCTGGTTCGATTCCCGGTCAGGGCACATGCTTGGGTAGTGGGTCTGTTCAGTGCCCAGTCGGGGCACATATGAGGGGCAACTGACTCATGGTTCTCTCCCTCTCTTTCTCCCTCTCTTCCCCTCTATCTAAAAATAAATAAATGAAATCTTTTAAAAAAAGAAATGAGATCTTTTTTCTTATAAAGTACTTTGGCTCCTTGACCCCTATTTTACCATCATTTATAAGGTTATAGCATAAATATAATTCTATTTACTATCATCTATAAGGTTATAGTGCAAATCTCTGAGACAAAGCTGCAATCTACAAGATACAATCTTGACTGTACATGTTTTCTGGTAACTGCTCATTTGTTCTCTTTTTTTCTTCTTTTGGCAAATCCTTGAGGAAAGAAATTAGAAAGATTTAAAAGTGGCATAAAGAAACCCCCCAAAACTGTTTACTTTGTTAAAATTCTATACAATAAGCAATTTAAAAAAATTCATCTTGTATATGTAAGCATATAATAATATGCTAAAGAACACAAGAGACTATCCTCTGAATTGTTATTTTAGTAGTGGAAACTAGTTTGCTCTCCCTTATGCATTCCGCCATTTTCTCAGCACTTACAAGCTCAGAAGAGGCAAAATTCATCACCTCACTGGTAACTGGAGTTTTTATCCCTTATAATTCAATTCTCAATTTGTACTTTGTGTTCCTTCCTTTTCATATCCTTAACCTTTCTCCTTCCCTGTCCAAACTCTTTCCTATGACTTCCTCCCTCCTAGGTGCAATCTGGTCTTTTTCAACTTTAAAGTCTGTTTTTTAGTTAGTAATTAATTGATAGTTGTAAGATATATGCATGCTTTCTTCATGGTAAGACTGATCAAATTCCAAACAACACACTTTTATAACAGTTTCACCAGAAAGGATACTTGACAAATGTCTCCACAACCACAGGCAGATCTATGCTTAGAAAGTTAAACCGTGGGATAAAACTGGTGATGCTCACTGGAAAAGAAAAATAAGGAATAATGTATGTTATTCATAAAGATACAAAATAGCATAATGAATTTACCATATAGTCAAAAACTGGGCTTGCCTATTAAAATGGTTGAAAAAGTCCTTCCCAAACATACACAGCAGGTTATGCCCCTCATACAAAACAATCAATTACTCTAACAACATCTAATACAAATAGTGGAATATAGAAATTCATGTCCCAGTGTGTACTTATATTTTGAGGTAAGAATAAGATTAAATTGACTATATATCAAATATGAATACCAAATCCAGAGACTGATTTAATTAATATAGAATTTACATCAAGAGTCCTTACCCTTTCAAAGAGGCATAAACCTTAAAATCACATTCATTACAACTATTATGTCACTTAACCTTCGGCCTTGGGTTTTTCCTTCATTGCTAAAACAAGGATTGACTACAGAATTTTTAAGGCCTCTCTCACTCTGTGGATTCCATAATACTGTTTTTTTCCCCCAAAATATTTAAAAACATTCCCTAAATTAAGTAGAACCCACAGTACACCCTTCTGAATTACTCTAAAAGGGGACCTTTATTCATTTGTTTAGGATGTATTTAATATTTATACTGTAGTTACTTAGTGTAAAACTCAAAAAATAAGCATGACCCAGACTGTATCTCAGGATATGACTATGAAGCAATGAGAGTCTTTTAAAGAGTAACATAAAACCAACCGATTAATAAAGAAAGAAAATGTGCTTTGTCCATACGATGGAATTTATTTGGCCCTAAAAATGATGTAGTGGAGCAGGCTACAACACGAACAAACCTTGAAAACATTATGCTAGGTCAAAGAAGCTGGTCACAAAATATTCCATTTACCTGAAATGTGATGAACAGGCAAATTTATAGAAACAGAAAGTAGGTTAGTGGTTGCCAAAGGCTGAGGGTTGTTGGGGGGCGAAACGAGGAGTGATTGCTTAATGGGAATGGGGTTTCTTTTTGAGGCAAAAATATGCTAGAACTAGATTTTGGTGATGGTTGCACAGCTCTGAATATATTGAACACTACTGAACCATACACTTCTAAAAGCATGAATTGTGTGGTAGGTGAATTATATTCCAGTAAGTTATTTAAAAAGGAACATAAAAATCTTATACAACAAAATGAGTTAGACTGTATGATCTTCAACCATATGGAGAAGCTGTATATTGAGTCCAATCATGTTGCTACTGTTCAAATACTTATGATGCTGGCCCAATTTTGAAATTATGTTTACATAAAATTCATGCGTCATGCAAATTACTTTACTGTCATATCCCTATGATTCCCAGCATTCTCTGGGAGCTGCTCTTGCCACTATTTGGGGAGCTTGGATAAAATTAATAAATTTTCAAAGAATATCTTGAGAGCTCAGCTCTGTGACTTGGGCATAAATGGTGGAGAAGGAAAAATATATTCCTCTTCAAAGGCAGACATGGGATTTAACTCCACCTTGTTTTATAAACTCAGATGAGTTTCTTACTGCCTAAATTTTATTTAATGCTTAAGGATAAATTAGCAACATCCCAAACTAATGTAATATGGTATATCAACTGCAACTGAAAAATTAAAGAAAATTAAAAAGAATTAAAAATGTACAAGTTAACAGGGCTCTGAAAAGTGATCCGCTCTATAATCAATGAAACTAACGCAAGGATTTGTACTGAGCTTCCACCACTGAGAATACATGCCATCTTAATGCTTTTCTGATGGTCTTCCACCGCCACACTCACCTGTGTAGTGCAGGTGCAGTGGATGTCCTACGTACAACATATCAATTTGAGGTGGGTGTTTCACTTTTATTAAGCGAGTGTGAGTTTCCAAAGAAGGTATTATGCAGAAACTTGAACCTGAGCCTTTTTTGCAATCTTTATTGGTTCTACAAACTTGGGTGGCTTCAACTGCTTTCCGGGCAGGCAGGCATGTATGCTATGAATAAAATAATAGTTAGTCAATACTAAAAATGATCTATTGAAAGAAAAACATCAAGTTAAGGTCCTTCAATATCTTTCATGTCACCTAGCATATTAGGAAAGAAGTTTATGTAAAAGAAATGCCATTTTTGGGCACCCACTATAAATTAGATTCAAGTATTCTACTTTGTTCCAATAAGGTATTACCACTTTAAATTTTTAAAGACTCTTAGATGAAGAGAGACATATGAAATGTAGACATTTTAGCCCTAGCTAGTGTGGCTCAGTGATTTGAGCGCTGGCCTGAAAACCAAAGGGTCGCTGGTCCGACTCCCAGTCAGGACACATGCCTGGGTTGCAGGCCAGGTCCACAGCAGGTGGTGAGTGAAACACAACCACACACTGATGTTTCCCTCTCTTTCTCCCTCTCTTCCCCTCTCTAAAAATAAATAAATCAATCTTTAAGAAAAAAATGCAGAATTTTAATAAAATGATACAAAGCAAAAGGGAGAAGTTTTCATAGATTCCATTTTAGCTCTATCTGCTCATTTTATATCAGACAAGCAAGACAGCTTCTGGGATAACTTACCAAACGTTTATTAAAATTATTTCTGTAAGAAAAGCACACATCTGTGAGGCTTTGATTGTTACAGCATTCAGTGGAACCATCTAGCCGTTTGTATGCTAAAGAGAAACAGTTTATTAGAATCTGTTACATAGAAGCACATTGTAAGAAAATTTTGCTTTCAAGATGATAAGTAAAATGCCTATGAATTTAGAAAGAACTGGATAATTCAGAGGTCAGCTTGATAGCTACTCATTGTACTTTGATTTTACATTACAAAAAGATATATGTTCAATTGGAAATCAAGAAGCGGCACTTACCCTAGGTTAGCTGTCTTCATATAAGCTTACCCACCCATAAAGCTGGAGCTCCAGCATCTCAGTGGGTTTTGTAGTAACTCCAGCTGGTCAAGTACAAGTATTTAATGAGCCCCTCTTAGCCGCCCTAATGCCACTGATCTAATACCATTACTGAATTCCTGTGCTCTGGTGTTAGCGAACAGAGTGGGCCAAAGGATACCCGAGAGACTCTCATCCCTAAGGAAATCCCGATTATATCAAACACCTATCTCACCTCCAGGCTCACCTCGGGGCTTTCCTCCCTACACCAGGGCAGCCCAACTTGACCCCACAGATGTGCACACATTTGCCTGCATACCAATCATCCAGTTGGCATTTTTGGAAGACAACAGAATCAACTGTTCATTCCCAGTATTATTTTATTTTTTTACAGGTCTTTGGCAGACTGCTTCACTGATATCTGGGGTAGATGAGGGAAGCTAAATCACTGCATCAGATGGCACAAAAAATGATTTCCATGTCTTTATTTTGGAAGGTTTCCTGCATTCAGCAAATCAAACTTGTAAAGCATAAACTGCTGTATGGCAAGGACCAGTTATACAATTTAGAATCTTGTATTCATACTACCATACTCAGATGTTCTGAGGAAGACAGACTCAAGAACAAAGTTACTACAGTACTACGAAAGAAAGAGTATGTTTTCCAGTACAAAAAAGAAAAAGCTTTTCTATTACAAGAGTGTCTTCAGGAACACTAGCATGAACCTGTTAGCTAACATGCAATGTGATTTTATAAGCACTTTGTATTTATCTGCTCTTAAAAAAACCCAAAAAACAAAACTAAGTTATTTAAGGAAGATGCTTTGATGTTCCCTAGCCACTGTTGCTCACTCTCCTAGGACAACATAAAGCAAAACAGGTAAAGCAAACTAATCAATGCATTAAATTCTCCTCTGCAATGGTTGGCTGTATGGGTAGTTTTGTTTTCTTAGCATAACTGAATAGATATTTAAATTTTGGGTGACAGATCATATTTAAAATATGAAAGAAAACTGAACACGTAATGTCACTGTCGAACCCGTGCCTACAGTCACTCATCAGCCCTATGATAAAGTATAAGGTAAAAAGTTGTTTAGAATTTTATTTTATTTTAGATTTTATTTATTTATTTTTAGAGAAAGGGACGGAGAGAAACATCAATGTGTGGTTGCCTCTTGCACCCGCCCCCCCGCTGGGTAATTCGATATGCATTGAACACCTCAATGATGTTCTATATCACTTGCCTTTGTATTAGTAATTATTTTAAAAAAATTTTATCATGCCCTGGCTGGTGTGGCTCAGTTGGCTGAGCGTTGTCCCGCAAATCAAAAGGTCACCAGTTCCATTCCTGGTCAGGGCACATGCCTAGATTATGGATTTGGTTCCCAGTCGGGGTGTGTACGTAAGGCGACCAGTCTATGTTTCTCTCCCTCTCTTTCTCTCTCCCTTCTCCTTTCTCAAAAAATAAATAAAATTACATCTGATATTTGGTCACTAACTTTTCTTGGAGGATTGTATACAATATAGAAACTCAAGAATTTGGTATTACTGTTGATACAGTATGTGGTAACACAAATACTTAAAGGGGCCAAGCAAATACCAAAATAAATGAAGTGGACAGTGTGTGAAAAAGCAGAAAGTAGTGGAGACTGTGATGAATTAGAAAACATATACCCTATTCTAAGGGGTTAGCAGTCAGGCTACTCAATTTGGGGCCCAGATTTGACAGTTCACCCATTTTATTTCAAGAGAAATCAGAAATCTGGACCTTCATTTGAACCCTCTTGAATTTTCAATATTAGCAGCCACTTAAAAATTTAAAAAATACAGTGCAAGCCAAACCAAATACATCTGCCAAGGCTGGATTTGGCCTCTAGGCTACCACCAATTTTCAACCTCTGGGTAGTGGCTTCCTCCTACAGTGATTTTTCCAACCCAAACATAAAGCCGTGGCAGTGGCTGTGGCTGTCCCGACAAGATTAAGTATCTAATGACACACAGAATTTTCCAATAAAAAGTTAAATATCTTGTTATTGTGTGAGAAGTAAACTTGTGATTTGTATATCAATTTAAGGAAAGTTAGAGGTCTAGAAAATATTTTCTTTTAGAATTCTACTTGGTCATGTTAAGAAGAAATAATAAAATATTTCTCTTAGGAGCACATTGTGGGTTCCACACCAATCTTCTGCCAAGTGAAAAGTTTTGGAAGATGGGAAGTGGCTCTGGGGAAGAGGAAAAATTTACAAATATTTCAACCTTCAAAAAATCAGGTGAGCCTACTTAATCGACATTGCCACAAAGGAGACAAGCGGACACTGCCTCCTGATGTGACGTGATAGGAGTACTGAGTGCTACCCAGGAGTATTTTTGCCATCCCCCAAAACAGACCCTGGATCAAGCCTGTAGACCTAATCACTATCACTGTTTATAAGAAATATGGGGAACATCTGAATACATTAATGATATCACAAGGATAAGATATAAGTAGACAAATCCAGAATATAGCAAATCCAACAAAACAAATGACTCAGTTTTCTTCAACACACAAATGATATAAAGAAAAAGCCAGGAAGAATTGTTACAAGTTAAAAGAGACATAAAAGACATATCACTCAACTGAAATAAGCCCTGGGAAAAAATATAACAGGGAAAACCAACTGGACATTCGGAATTATTGTTAATTTTGTTAGGTTTGATAACAGTACTGTGGTCATGTTTAAAAAGTCACCATCTGTTAAAGACATGCTGAAGTTTATGGATGAAATGACAGGATGCCTGGGGTGTACTTTAAATATGCCCCCCAAAAGTGAAGTGATTAAATGAAAAAAAAATTGGCAAAATGTTGGTAATTGCTGAAGCTGGAAGAAGGATGCATGCGTCAATTTTTTGTATGACTCTCTTGACTTTTATGTATGTCTGAAAATTTTGTTATAATAAAAAAGTTCTTAAAAATGGTTATACAAACAAAATTTACATTTAAAAAATAACTTTAAAAACCACTTCTTACTACTTTACCAGTGTTGCACACAGCACTTCAGTAAGGTTATTCTTGATCATTAATCATATTTCCTAATCTGAAAATGCGGACAAGTATCCAGGGCATTTCCTGACTAAAAGATATAGTCTATGAGCATAATTTGTATTTTCCAACACTTTCAACAATTTGGGACTCCATAATTTTATATAAAGAGTTGGGAGACTGATTTTTTAGAGCTGAAAGAAATCAAAATAAATTTGGCAGCTCCTGAGAATAATCTTGCTTCACCCTGCCACCTGTGCTACATGGAACAATAGATCTGACTTCAGGGGGTATTTTCGGAAGCCAAAACTACTTCTACTGAATATCTGCCGCATAAAATAATGACCCCAAATAGCTTTGAACATGCCATCATCCATCTAGCACAGGGATATTTAATTACTGGAATTTAATTGGTTATGGTTGAGCTTAAAAATCTGACTTAACCAATTTTTTAAAAAGTTTATTTAGAAAGTATCAAAGTGTAAACAAATTGATGGCAAAGAACATACATGTACCTATCTTACGGGAGCCTGGTCCTATGGTTGCTTATGTCTAAGGGCGATAGTAAAAATGTTTACTAACCAGGATGGCACTGATGGTAGTGCGACTTATTTCAGCTCTGACTCAGCCCTGCCTACTTCATTCTTTGGTTTTTAGGTCAAGTTAATCCCACTCTTCCTACAGCAGAGGGTCAACCTCTGCAAAGGCAGAGGGTGTGCAATGAGCCTTTAAAAGGACTAAGGGGAAGCAGAACTGAAACTGCTTCTAGTTAGGGCCCTGAAGCGAGGTTGCAAAGTTCCCCTGGTCCCAGATACCCGGACCTGGAAAAGCTCATCTAGTCCTCTTGCCCCAGATGGCAGATATAACCAGAATCTTTCTGAGTTAATGTAACAGTCAGGAAAAGGCCTGTGGGAGACATCAAATCTTAAATATGGACTCAAACATAGATTTTGAATCTCAAAAATCTTCACATGGACTCTGACTTAATGTTAGCATAACTAATGAAATCTTTCAAAGAGAACTAATGAAATCTTTCACCTATGAGAAACAAACAGAAGTATCCCTTGAACAATAATAACTGATTTAACAAATACAGACACACACTTAAGATTATGGCGTAAGTGTTAAGTGGGCACATGTCAAAGTACCACTTTCATTTTGGCAAACCTCTTGCAATGAGAGACATATTAACAGAAACAAAATCCAGCAAGTGGCCATGAAGGTATCCTCCAGAGGTGTGGGGTTTTTGTTTTTAAATCTGCTCCAAGCTACAGACCAATCACATTATTAGTAAGTCAATTGTGACCTTCACATCAGAGGAACATCAATACTGCCACATGGCCACCTTTCCATAACTTGTGGGCAGATCAAACACTATGCTTTGCATGATGCTTTCACTACTATCACTCAGGAGCCAAAAATAGTCCAGCAATTTGATTTTCTTCAATTCTATTTTAGTCTCAAAGGAAACCATTTATATTTCATCAAGAAAAGGTTAAAGGGGATGATAGATTGCCACTGAAAATAGTTTGCAAAGGGATCATGAGTTACATGTGTACTTAAAGAAACTTAATAATCTGTAGTGTGTTGGCTTAAAAAACACACACAAGATACCCCAAGCTTAGGACATTCACCCTTCTGAATAACCACCACTGAAACTCAGCAACAGCTGCACGACCTAGCTCCTTAACACTGGGTCCAGAAGGCTAGGCAGGAGAGGCAACTTGCACCTGAATTTTCATAGCTCTTATTTCGCCCGGCACATAACAAAGTGGTACAACAATTCAAGGTCTCTGCTTCTGCTGTGCTGACTTTTTTCCTCTGCAGAAAAGTAACAATGGGAGATAGACACCCTCCTACCTGCTGCAAATACAGGGGAGGGCAAAAGTAGGTTAACAGTTGTTCACATGGAAAAATAATATAATTAATAATAATTAAAAGAATAAACTGCTTCACGTACTTATAACTGTAAGCCTATTTTTGCCCACCTCTGTTTGGCAGTACAGTCTACTTCAGGGGTCCTGACCTCTGCCAAACCAGGGAATTCCTTTTTAGAAGAGTTCTTCTCAGATAGGAGCCAGAATCTTACAATGACCATATCATGGAGCATAAAACTTCACGAAGGTTATTCCTTCTGCAATGATGTTAACAAAATTATTTTCTGCGAGTGCCAACACAGTGCCCTTGTTGGCCTCGGGCTCGGCAGCCAGCACCGGGGCCTCGGGGCTGGATGGTCTCTGGGGCCCCCCCGACCGAATTCTGGGGCTATGATTCCACACATTCTCTCAGTGGGTCCAGATCCCACTGTGCCTTGTACTGGTTAATCTTCTTACCATCGCAGAACCAGAGAAGAGCAGGAAAGCCATGAACCCAGTTTCCTGAACAGAGTCCACAGTGCTGCGTACAGTTAACCTTGCCAATCTTGACAGTTTCGGAATGTTCACAGCCTAGAGCCAGCTGCTCTGCGGTCGGAGCCAGAGCTTTGCAGTGACCACACCATGGAGCAAAGAGCTTGATAAAGTGGTTACCTTAGGCAACCTGCAGCTCAGAGTTGCTTGTTGAAAGCTCATACTGCTCCTGCTTGAGCTCAGAGGCTCCGGGTAGTTCTACGTCTGACTCTGGTGTGACGGATTCTTCATTCAGTGTCTGCAGCATCCAGTTTTCCAGTGTCTGGAAGTCCCAGGGACCTTGGTACTTCACAACTTCTTGGCTAGGCTTGAAAAACTTCAAGGTGGGGTATCTTTGCACCCCCTGGGAGGTGCACATGCCTGAGTTGGCTGCGTAGTTCACTTTAACCACACAGACTTTGGCATCTTCCATGCTGCCCTACTTGTCTCCCAGATCGTTCCAAGCAGGTTGCAGCCATTGGCAGTGCCCACACCAGGGCACACAGAACATAGCGAGTGTGCAGCCCTCTAGATCCGGTGCATGAACATGTCAGCTGTGTATAGGTGCCTGGTGTGCAAGTACTGCCCTACCCTGCCTTAGGCCCATTTGCTGCCACCGCTGCCGTGCCCGGCTTCTAGCCTGTGGCACTCCAGCACCCTCCACTGCCATGGCCAAACAAACGGTGGGAGCAGCTGCACGCTGGGGGTCAGAGGCTAGGGCAACTTTGGGAAGAAGCGTCCGGGGTGCAGGGCACGGAGGCGTGACTGGCACCTTCTCGCTGTGGAAGCCAGTCTCCTTCGTGGTGCCTGCCCCTTGCCCCAGCAGAGTACACAAGTGTTTTTTTTTGAATGCATAAATAATTAGATACTAGAGCCTCAAAACTCAAATATGATGTTATAAAGTTAGAAGTTCCATAACAACATATAATAAAGGTAACATACATATTAGTACCCAATTTACCAAGAATGTTTACTAGTTTGGACCTATTATTACTTTTCTGATTTGTTTTAAAGAAATTAGAGCAAAATAAATCTACAGACATAACCTAAGATTGGTGAATGGCAAAGTACTGCTGCTTGAAGCATTATATTATACTGAGGGAAATATACACACCTCTAACTGGGAAGCTTAACTGCTGTAAAGTTGATGCGCTTATGCAATAACCAATTTGGGGTTCATAGGCAATGGTATCTAGACATTCATTCCAATCTTGTACATTAGTAACAGGACAATCCTGCAGATGGGTAACAAGGTCTCCCACAAAAAGGCCTCTGGGTCCGACTGCAGGTGAGTCCTTGGAAAGAGGGCAAAAACAAATCAGATAATGTGTGTAAACAAGCTATGATTAATTTGAGCAAATAATTAAAGACACTGAGTTAAGAAGATTATTTTGAATAATGCAGAAAATAATCCAGCTTTGAATATAAAATGTATAATCTTAGGAAGTTAAAATAAAGCCCAACAATTACAGTTACTTATACTATTTCTCCAAGATTTTGAATTTTTTGCAACTGAAAAAAACAAACACCTACTTGCCAACTGTTGAGATTAAAATGACAGCTTTTTAAAATAAACTGCTATTAAATTTCTTGTGAAAGTAGTTATCAGGAGGCCTTCAATTACCTATATCCTCAGTGGGTAAAACTGTAAGGCAAGCCCTTATCTAGATACAGTCCCAAATATGCAGATGATACTGTCAGCACAATGAATGCGCGAGCCACTTGCTTACAGAGGTAATTTTTCTCTTCCCCAAGTCTCAAAAGGAGACTTGATGCCATCTCAGTAGTTATTGACTAAGGGAGTGAAATACAGAGCTGAAGACATAAGCTCCCATGAAATGTTCTGGCTGGCTAGCCTAGGTTTCATCTTTCTTACTTCTTATGAGTTAAGATATTTGACTCAGAAGCAGAGTTATAAAAATAAACAGTAAAAGTAAATGATGCATTTTATCAATAAACTATAAGTAGAAAATCTAGATACTATTTTTGTACCTAAGAACAGAAACAACTTTTAGTATTTTTAAACAGACCGTGTTTCACAAAACCATTTGTTTGATTTGAAAGGACTGCCAATAATTTCTTCATGAGAAACTGAGCATTCTGTCTTATGAGAACTTGAATAAAAGTTCTCGACATAAAATGCTAAGTGTTACATCACAAAATCTAGTAAAGGAATGCCTAAGTAATCCATCATTTACCTCAGCAACTTCAGTGATAAGCACCCCAACTCCAGTGTAGTAAAAGGGTAGGAGAATCACAGGGAGGAGGACAAGAGCTAAAATACCCAGGAGTGCAAGGACGAAATTATGCCAGATACCTGAAAAGAGGAAAGCAAAAGAATAAGTTCAACCAGGGCAGTAATGACATAGGTAGTTGGACCTCAGAACATCTGGGCATTCTGATAAATTAGGAAAGTAATCAGAAGAAGCTGTGAGGCACATAGATCTACTTATTTGTACAGCAGACGGATGTGCAGTTACAGGCCTTTTTCATTTCAGATATTACAATGTAAAATAAGCATGTTAATACCACAGGGTACTATGATTTAACACCAATAAAATCTATATTCTATTATATATACCTGATATATAGATCACAAATAAAATTAGTATCTTCTATTTACTATACCTTCTTTTCAGAAAATATATACATAATTAATATAAACATACTTGTGATCTTTGAAAGGAATACCAGAGCTATTCAAATAAAAGCTAAGATGAAATAAACATTCTTGCCGAAATAAACATTCTTGGGGTATGGAAATCCAAATAGTATTTGAAAAAAGAGACTGTTTTAAGAATTAAACTGTTAATGGAGAATATTACTGATGGGTCAATAGGGTATGTATCTAACATCATGTCACAGACTATAACCACCTCCATTATATATACAGCGTGGTGTGCTGGAGCCTGCTTCTACCAGCTTGCCACAGCCAACTGCGTGCATTCCTTCCCAGTTCCTCTTTCAGGGACTTCAGGTTTGCACCTTGTGGCCATCGTGGGACCGCATATTTACAAGACGGAAATCAGCAAATGCTACATATCAGAGCTCCCCACCCTCGCCTTCAGAGTCAGGTGTTAAAACATACACCAGCACACCACTATAGAACCCCTCCCTCCATACCTATCCTTCCCTTCTTCTACTAGTTTTTGTCACGGGGAAGAGTAGGGGCACTACTGGCACTCTGAGCAGTGTGGTTCTTAGCTGTGGAAGTCTGTCCCTTACATTACAGGATATTTAGCATTCCTGGCTCTCCATCCATTAAATACCATTAGTGCTCTCCTGTCAGACAACCAAAGAATGGCTCCCACTCCACACATTCCATACATTCCCAGGAGGGTGACAGCATCAGTGATTGAGAATCAATGTTCTATAGTGATAGAAATGTAACATAAAGACATTTCCCAGACTCTCAGGAAGCTGAGTATGGTCACATGACTGTTTTGAACAAGAGCATGTGAGTGGAAGTGATGGGAATTTTCCTGTCCTACTGGCTGGAATGAGGGAGCTAAATCTGAGTCCACAAGATAGAAGCTGCATGTTGGGAATAGTAGAGCTAACAAGACAGAAAGGGCCTGAGTCCCCCAAATCATAAAATTATCTTATCAGCACTGAGCTACTTACATTTATGAGAATGTAAGCCTGTTACTTTTAGCCATTACAGCAGCCAGATACTTAGCTAATACATGCTGCACATACCATATTCACATTATAAGGTGTCTCCCTTCCCCTTTTTGAGTGTTTTAAGTTGTTAAATTCCAAAAATATCCAGAGCAAGTCCAGTCCAGGACATATAGATAAACAATCTTTTCTGTTCTGTAACAGTTTTTAAAAACAGCAAATGTATCAAACTATCAAAAACTGTATTTTGCTTTTTCATTTATCTATTTTGGACTTTTCCCTTTTCTGCACATTCATCCCATTTCTTATATCCACTACAGAGTAGCCCATTTTTTAAAAAAACATATTGACTTAAAAGTTTCCCTACTAATGATCATTCAGGCTGTTTTAACTTTTTCATAGAATGGTGCAACAAATGGCTTTGCTCATATTGTTATGCATCTAATTACATATGCATCTGTGAGGGTATGGAATATCGCACATACATGGAATTGTTGTGTCAAAAAATATGTGCATTAAAATTGACCTCCAATGAGTTTATATTAATTTATGTTCTCATAATTGGCATATTTCCCCACCTTCTTTCTAAACAACTCTGGATGCTACCATAATTTCTTTGCCACCTGCTAGGTGAAAAGTAAAATGTCTTAATTTCTATTTCTTTAATTATGAGTGAGCCTGCACAATTTTTATGTTTATTTCTATTGAAAAGCTATTTCTATTTTCTTTTGGAACTACTTATCTCCCTTTCCTGTTCACATTTTTGACTAGGTTGTTTTTTGTTTTGTTTTACTGGTTTGCATATATTGTTATTTGCAATATATATATACACACACACACATTGAGGAATTTGGTCTTTTATAAGAGTTATTTAATTATTTCCTCCAGTGTGTTGTTTGGCTTGGTTTATAGTCTTGTCTATTCAGAATTTTAAATTTTGGTGTGTTCAAAACCCTGCCACTCCACCCCCCGCCCCCACCAAGTTGCTGGCCCCAACACCATTCCACAAAATGATCTATCTTCACTGATTAGATTTGTCACTATTACCATGTCTAAAATTCAGCTTCTCCCGTCCCTGTCAGGATGAAACAGTCCACCAGGACTGCCTAGATGCTTGCATTTTCACTAACTCTCCCATCCAAACAACAGTCATGGGAGCACACAGCAGCAGTGATTCCTCCACTCTCTGGGCAACCTCCTATGTATTGACAGGGATGCAACTGGTACTAGACCACCCCCTATAGATTCCCCATTTGCCCATGATGGCTAAGAAGCAACCAGGGTGATTGAAAACACACATTTCCTTTATTTAAACAACCTCTTGTCTATTAATAAGTACATCAAAGAAATCCACTACAACTTTTATATTACCCACAGCAGACTTTCTCTCCATTGGCATTTTGGGGCAGATAATCATTGTTGTGGAGGACTGACGCATGCATTGCAGCATCTTTGGCTTCTACTCCCCAGATGCCAGTGACAGCCTCCTCCCTTTTTCTCTATTTTCTAGCTATAGTATTTATATAGGCAAATTTATTTTATTTTTTAAGAACAGGTATTATTTTTGTCCTCTCTATTATATAAGGCACACATATCAAGTGTTAAAAAGTCAATATATAAAAAAGTACAATTGAGCACCACTCTCTAACTAAAGGGGCAAAAAAATTAAATAATATTACTTGACAGTGTTTGGGGGAAATAAAATAACTAAGATAGGTTTAAAGTGACTAATACTATTAAATCACATCTAATATTCAATGCTACATATATAATTCAATGCAGCTAAAAGATAGCTATGCAAAATGTGGTAATAGCAAAGAATACAACCAAAAGTAAGATATCAAACAAAACTTTTTTAAAAATGGAAAAATATGTATGCATGTAAACTGTTTTCTTAAAATCTACAGCAAAGTTATCAACCTTCAAAAAAACCCCACACATATAATTAAATATTAAACATAGTCCTAAAAGTAAAAACATAAAGATTTGGAAAATACAGAACTTTAAACATTTGTAAAGAGGTGAACTTGAATCTGAAAAGTCCCATTTTTAGCATAGCTGCACAAAAAAGTCCTTTGATGTGAGGTTCATGAATTACCCTCCTGTTGGGATCAAACTTAAAAAACACCAGTTTTCAAATAATATTATAGAACAAGATAAAACATCTTAACAATGTAACCTTATATAGACATTCTTTAAACCTTTTTTCACTTTTTACTACTCTATCAAAACATGACATTTTAACAATGTAATTTTGTAACTTTTTATTTTTATTTTTTACTAATTTATCAAAACATGACCCTTAGCTAAGCAGGAATCATAAAAGGGTCTTCTCTCCTTTTCACTGACTATCTTTGTTCTTAGCATGCGTGAAGATATGAGATTTCAGGTTAGTAGACTGAGCAAACTTCCTATCACAACCTTCGAAGGGGCACACGTAGGGCTTGTCGCCGGTATGGATTCGTACATGTGTACGCAAATTGAAATCCAGGGAAAAGCATTTCCCGCAGCCTTCAAACGTGCACTGAAAGGGCTTCTCTCCAGAATGCACCAGTTGATGCCGTTTTAGTTTCGAACTTTCAACAAAGCCTTTGCCACACTCTGCACATACGTGGGCTCTCGGACCGTGGGTGTTCAGATGCTTTCTCATAGCACTGATATCCTTGAACATCTTTCCGCAGCCTGTATAAAGGCAAGCTACTGTTCTTGGAACATCATCTTTGGGTTTTTTGGGCCTCGTTTTAGTAAATTCTGCCAGCTGTTTGGGATCTGATAGGTCGATACCCGGTATTCCTTCAGGAGGAAGTTTTTTTCCCGTCAGGTACTCTGAATAATCAGGAGGTGAGTCCTCCTCAACCGGTCCTTCAGTCTCCTGGTCTCCTTCATCACGTGGGGACCACATGGTGACCGAGAACTGGCCCTCCAGGGTTTTGATCAGCACCTCCTTCTGCTCCCACTTCCTGCAGCCGCCCGCCGCCCCCGCCGCAGCCGCGCTGCTGGTGGAGCTCTGCTTACCGCTGCTGGGCATGTCGCTCGGTGCGTTGCTGGGCTTGTCGCTGCGCTTGTGGCTGCGCTTCTTGTTGCGGCTGCGCTTCTTGCTGTGTCTCCAGGTCGATGATGACGCGGAGGCTTCAAGAGAAGCGAGAGCCTGCTGGAAGCAGACGTCTTCGTCCTCGACCTGGACGCCCATTTGCTGCTCCTGGAAGTTGTTACCCGACAGGTTGCCTGACTCGCAGTAGCCCACCACCTCCTCCTGGGTTTGTAGCACGACCATTTCCTCGCCATGGTCCCCTTGGTCTTGGCTAATAAAGAGTGGCTGCAGTGCAACCAGAGGTGGGTTGGCGTGGACACTGTGGACCCAACTGCCACCAATATCCTCATATGCAATGGTTTCTATCGCCACTGGCTCCACAGAGATAGTCTCCACAGGAACAGTCCCCAAAGTGATAGTCTCCGCAGGGGTGGTCTCTACAGGGATATTCTCCACAGGAACAATCTCCACAGGGAGAGTCTCCACAGAGATAGAGTCCAGAGAGACAGATTCCAAAGGGATGGCCTCCAGGTGGATCTGGTGCAACTCCACAAACTCGGTAGGTATCTCCGAGTTTTCTGTGGTGATGTAGATAATGTTGTTTGAGGCCATAGTTGAAGGCTCTGAAGAAGCTTTCACTACTGGGCAGAGCGTGGTATCGGAAGGTTGCGGAAAAGAAAGACTGAGAAAAAGAGCGCCAGCTCCGGAAGAAAGTTCGAGCTCTGGAGAGACGCGCTAATGCTAGGCAACCGTGCACGCGCTAGCAGTGGAGGAGTTCCACGCAGAGGATTCTGGACAGCCCGGCACCCAACGCATGCGCTTCCTGACAACCTGGTACCTGGCGCATGCGCACATACCCGCTCAAAGCCAAGGTACACTTTCGAGTACTACCCTTCCCGCCTCTTCTCTCTGCCCACCAGCTAAGCTGTTGCTTTTTTGAATATTGATTCGATAACCAGGCTCCTTACTTAATTTTTCTACATTTCATTTCTGTTGATTTTATCCACAACTACCCCCCCGCCCCCCGGCGAGGTGTATAACAGTATCTGGGGAGGGAGTCCTTTCTAATATTTATACTTTTTAATTTCTCTCTTATTTAATTGCACTGACCCACATTTACAGGCCATTTAATAGTATCAGTGATAGCTGATAGTGGAATTGCTTGCCTTGTCCTTTAATAGGAATGCTTCTAAGTGTTATACCATTAGGAAGTATCCAAGCTATTTCTACTTTTACTAAGGATTTTTGGTTTTTGGCTATTAATAGATGTTGGATTTTGTTAAATATCTGTTTCAATATCTGCTGAGATGAGGATCCCCCCCCCCACCATGGTTAATAATGTTTACCCACATTCAAATAGACTACCTAATGTTGAATCAACCTTGCTTTGTTTCTTTACATCATGTATGTGGGGGTGGGGGTGGGGGTGGGGTGTGTGTGTGTGTGTGTGTGTGTGTATGTGTGTGTGTGTTTGTTTTAAAAGATATATCTCTGTTATATTGGCTTAAAAAACAAACAAACTTAGTTTCCTACTCTATGCAACCTGGAAAGTTTATCCTAAATTGGAATTAAAAAATAAAGTATTTTCCTTAAACATCTGAAAGAATTCCACCTATGAAACTTTGAGGAGAACTTTCTTAATTTCTATTGCAATTAGTTCATGTACACATATATTTTTCTATCTCCTCTAGGATTTATTTAGGCTGGGTTTTTTTTAAAAAATAATAATTTGGGGTTTTGAAAAATTTTTGCAGAGATGAACAAAGAACACTTTTATAATTAAGTTTCTTTGTATCAGCTGTCATTCCCCAATCTGACTGCTGATTCTGTCTATTGAAGCTTTCTCCCATTGTTTAATATTTTTTTCTTCAAATAACTCTTAGATTTAACAGTTGTGTTTTTCTTTTTTCCAATTTCTTATTTTCTCCCTATATCCTTACTAATTACATCATTTCTCAACTATTTTACAGTTTCTTCACTCCTTCAGTTGAATGCCTGATACTTTCATTTCCTATTTCATAAAAACTGCCTAAGGCAGTAAATTTTCCTTTAAGCCAAACTTTACACATTATTTCATCATCATCTTTAAATATACTGCAATTATGGTTTTGAATGAAATTGGACAATTTTTGTCTCATGAGCATTTGAAAAGAAATTCTGATATAGAATTTGACATATTTATTTTTACCTTATTAGGAGCCTCAATGATCTGAACGTTTTTGTACCTATGTGCCATGTGTGAGAGATATGAGTCTCCTCTATGACACCTGTTGTTTTCTTTGTGCTTTTTCCATTTTTGTTTTGATGGTTTGTCACTCACTACAGTAAGATTCACAGTGATTACATTTTCATCGTGGAATATATTCCATATGATTAAGTGCCCCTTTGTCTCACTTAATGCTTTAGTCATGTTTTCTATTAACATGGTAAGTTCTGCTCATTTTACTTTAATCTTTTAAAAATCATGTTGGTTTTAGTTGTTTTTCAAGAAGAAACTGGAATGTAAATTATTTTGCTCTACTACTTTTGACTGAGATTCTTATAAACTGACATTATCAACCATAATATGAGATATTTTCATTTGTGATGTAAGTACTTTCCACAAAACAACTAACAACACATAAATGAATAAAAAAAATTTAAGTCTGTTACCTGCACAAAATATCCTTAGCTGCTGGACTGGTGATATAAGTTGCAAATGAGTGGTGAACAGATCAACAAATGCTCCAGGATAAATAATGAAGAGAAAAATTCCAAAGCCATTAAATCGAACTTGTTCCCTAAGAAATCACATAATAAAAAGGAATTTACTACTTGTATTGCATTTGTCAAATTAATAATGTATATAATCTTAAAACTTCCCACAGAACTTCAAATTCTTGCTTAAAAATCAAGTATCTCTGGACAGTCAAAAAGTTTACCTATCCATCTATATATCTCTCTCTCTCTCATAGTTTTACTATAATGTACAGATTTGGTCATCTGTGAAGTTACATTTTATCAAACAGGGCATTCTGAAATAGACTTACAACTTCAAAGTTTTTAGAAGCCAATATGCTGAACAAATAACCTTAAATTAAGAAAAGTTTACTATTTCTATAAGAAACTAAATGAAAAGCATATTTATGATTTACTCTGAATTATTTTCCAAGGTCACAGTAGAAATATAATTCAAGTAAATTATCTAAATATTTATATTTGTCCTAGCTATTATAAATAAAGGTGGAAATTTATCTAAGTACATTCCTCTTGAATTAATGTTAAACTCAGTGCAATAAAAAAATGCATAATGCTCAGACTGTCCTTAGAACTATTTATTGATTCATTCTCTAAAAATGGAATTATACTTAATATCCTCATAAGACTGAATAGTTACTCCAAAATAAATTATCATCTTAATATATTGTGCTATCACTTAGTACTAAGTATATCAGATGACCGTAAAATTCACTTTTTCTTGGCAGTTGTGATTTTATTAAAAAATTACCCACATTATATTATGAATCATTAAATTGTTACTAACAATGCTTTTATATGTAAAACCCTAAGGGCTGCAATGCTAAAAATGTGGAAGCAAAGGTGAAAAAGATTTTTTTAAAAAGTAGCCACCCACTTAAACCACATGGCACACCTGTGTAACAGTATATGCTGTGTCAAGATGAAGGTTTATTGCCAGTCTATACAGACTCTTGCTCATAAGCAACTGGAAAGTAGTAAGTGATTAAATCTTCTCATCTAAAACCTTTTATCTGGTCCACACACTGAAAGGATAAAAAATTCCCATCAGTATGTGTGTTCCTTATGGCAATAATTATCAGTGGGAGTGAAGGGGAGTTGTGACTCACCTTCTCCCCCATCATGATTTTACAGGTTTAGGAGCCTTTAAAATGATCAGGTATAATTATGAGACATTCGGGTAGTTACAACAGGAAGAGGGCATAATACTTGAAGAGAGTTCCAAGTCTCACCCTCCCTTATCTTCTTTCTCTTGGGTGTCTAAATAGGCTCTATTTGTTAACAAACCCAGAGCTTTCAGTGTTCTTACTCTATCTAGCAGAGGCCATAAATAGAGGCAGCAAAATATTTCAGCTAATAAGCCAAAGAAAGTACTAAGGAGGCAGTGCAGAGGTTATCATTCTGCCCCAATGATGAACAGAAAGATTAAGCTTCAGGATTTGATGAAAATCTTAAGCACCATGAGGATATAACCATGCTGGCAGAGGAAAAAAGATAGAAAGGCCCAGATTATAAATACAGTATGCACATGGTTAATTGAACATATTCATCAATATGTAAATCTTCTCTGCGAAAGAGAAGGTACCTCAAAATAACAATGAAGGATATATACTCTGTAATATCCACAGAAAGAAGAATATCAAATGTAGAAGGTTTTGGTAATAAAACTTCCTAAATGAAAGCTGCTTTGCATATAATAGAGAAAAAATGGTAAGTACCATTACCTAATAGCTGCTATCCCATGTCCAATTTCATGTACAACACCACTAATGAGGACTGCAGCGAAGAAATAGGTCAGTTGGTTGACGGGTAAATTTATACCAGGAACCTGTTCATAGACACAATGATAAATACACACTTGGGCACCAGGAGAACATGATGTTCACTCTGTATTAAAGCTTAAACTTCCAAGCCAAAAGTTCTATAAACTAAAAGAAATGTGAATATCAATGGTTTACTTTTTCATTTCTATCATAATAAAAGTAAAACACTGGTCAGTTTTTTAAGGCAGTTTTTGAACTAAGCACACCACCAATCTAAAGAGAACAGGAAACACCAGGTTAAAAAGCTGAAATTTTAGCTTCCTGAAATCTTCACCATGGGAAAGAATTAGAGAGCCTAGCAAAGCACCAAGGACCAGGGAATGTGAAGTGACACTGAAGGAGTCAGCTGGAAACCTGATTTGGGAATTCTTGTTACAATTCCTAGTCCTTCCTCTATATTGTTATTGCAAGGTTCCAAGTACTTATGCGAGTAATATAGACTATCCCCAACCCCATCAATGAATTTCCCTTTAGTATTCTCAAGTTATATGAGAGTCAATTAAAAGTAGTGTAACAAAGCACCTTGATAGTGTGGGAGCATCATGCCCTCCATTTCTTCGATCTCATCAGTTTGTCCAGTACATTGGTAGCAGCAAAGTGGTACATAAATATTGTATTAAAATTGAAATTTAATGCAGAAGGTGCATTTGGAACATACATACATATTAAGAACCTGTGAAGAACCAAGAGCTGTCTTGTAATCACATGTTCCTAAGATGCTGTGTATAGGTATACATCATTGCATACACAAGAGAAGTTTGCTATTTAAGGGCTGTGTGGTAAGTTGTTTTTAGATACCTAAGAATCTGCTTGTAAGGTAAGCAATCACTACAAGTTATGTCATCTGTTAAGGAGAGTCTATAAATTAGGCTAAGTGGGGCACCCCAGGCATAAATACTGTTTAAATAACTGAGCATCTATTTCTCACAGTCTAGGAGTTGAGACCCTAAAGGTATCCTTCTGGAGAAAATTCCATCTTTCTGTTATTATTGTTTTAAATTAGTTATAAAATATGTTTAAAGCAGGAAAACTTGAAAACTCAAAGAAAAATAGAAGCCTATAATCTTGCTCCCAAAACATACACACACAAAAAATTCTCAATGTTTTAATGCATGTCCTTCTATTCTTTTCATGTAGACATATTTTTACAAATTATGCTTTTGCCCTGGCTGGTGTGGCTCAGTGGATTGAGTTCCAGCCTGCGATCCGAAGGGTCACTGGTTCGATTCCCAGTCAGGGAACATGCCTGGGTTGTGGGCCAGGTTCCCAGTGCGGGATGTGCAAGAGGCAACCACACATTGCTGTTTCTCTCCCTCACTTTCTCCCTCCCTTCCCCACTCCCTGAAAAAAAATAAATAAAATACTTTAAAAAATATGCTTTTATTATGAATATGGTTTTGAAATCTGACTCTTTTGCTTAGTACTTTCACAAATATTTTCCCATGAATGTTTTCTGATTCAACTTTTTTTTTTTTAAATTTGTTATAACTGATGAACTTACATTGACATATTACAATCACCCAAAGTTTCTATTTTACCTTAAGGCTCACTGTTGGCATTGTGGGTTTGGGCAAATATATGACATGTATCCATTATTACAATATCATACAGAGTAGTTTCACCACCCTAAAAATCTTCTGTGCTCTGCCTATTTAGACATTCCCTCCACCTTAACATCTGGCAATGACTGTACTTTTTACTGTCTCTATAGTTTTGCCTTTTCCAAAATGTCATATTGAGGGAATATATAGTATTTTGCCTTTTAGGACATGCATTTAAGTTATCTCCATGTATTCTCATGGCTTGTTAGCTCATTTCTTTTTGGCACTGAACAATATTCTTGCCAAAACTTGAAATCAACATGTTTTTAATAGCTGCATTGTACTCCATGGAATAGACTGATGGGCATTTAATTGTTTTAAAAGTTCCTGCTCTGATATACTATAATAAACATGTTTGGACTCATATAAATACTTTGGGGGGATAAATTCTTGGACAAGCATGGTTGATTCAGGCTCCAGAGAAATATCACTTGAGTTTGACATTCTGGCTCCATCATTAACTAGTTAAGTGACCTGGAGGAAGTTCGATTATTACTCCAACACTTTAATTTCCTCATCATTAAAATGGAAACAATCACATTCATATAAAAGGGTAATTTTGGGGATTACAAGTGATAATCCTTGTCCAATATTTAACATGCCTCACAGAGAGGGTAAGAAATGCTATTATTACATCAAGATTAAAGGACTTTCATATACATCAAACTGCTCTCTAACAATAGACACTTCCCATAGCCTCGGGAAAGCTTGTTTTATTCAAATCTGCAATTTGAGAGAAATAAAAGAATCCCATTATTTGATTTATATTTCTTTGATCATTATTAAAGCTGAACTTTCCCCCTACTTTAGACCACTGATAGGTTCTTTGAGAGTAGCCTACTCCTGACTTGCCTATTTTTTTCTCCTAGAGTGTCCATATTTTTCTTATCAATCTGTACGATCACTCCAAATATCAATTATCAGTCCTCTGTAATACATGTCACAGATATATTTCCAAGTTTTTTTGTCTTTTTACTTTATTTTGCTTAGTTTTTTTGATACATAAAAATTTTAAGTCAATTCTACCACTATTCATGGTTTCTGCCATTAGTTTTATGCTTATGCCTTCCTTTTTAAAAAAAAAAGATTTCATTTGTTTATTTCTAGAGGGGAAGGGAGGGAGAAAGAGAGGGAGAGAAACATTAATGTGTGGTTGCCTCTAGCGTGCACTTCCACTGGGGACCTGGCTTGCAACCCAGGCATGTGCCTTGATTGGGAATCAAACTGGTGACCCTTTGGTTTGCAAGCCGGTGCTCAATCCACTGAGCCACACCAGCCAGGGCTTACAGCTTCCTCATTCTGTGTTCATATAAACAGAAATCTGTTTTTCTTTCTTTGAAGGTCTTTTATGATTCCATGTTTTAACTTTAATTCTATTGGAATTTATTTTTGTGCACAACAGAGGAATTTCACTTTTAAGCCCTTGTTAGTAACTGAAGAGGAGATTCAAACCATGCTGGTTGGACAGCTTTCTAAATTCATTTGTAATTCCAAGTGCCCTTTCCCTAGTTTTCATAATCATTTTTAATCTAGACATAATATTTCACTGAATGACAATCCCGTAATTTAACCACTTACAAACAGCATATTGATTGTTTCCAATTCTTTATAACAATAATGTTAGGGAAAAGAGCTCGATTAATACCATTTTTTCCCTATATCTGGGACACGTTTTTGATGCTTACTATGTAAAGTTCTCTTTACCCACAGTCGACTAAGCAGCTCTTTTCAAAAACATCAGTGTATCTTTTTCAACATACCTGCTCCATTCCCATGTGGCTAGGCATCTTTCTGTTCAGATTAGGGGTTTCCTTTTCTCTGACCCCTCTCTAAAGTTATGCACTTAAGATTAATTCTCATACATTCCCTCTATATCACAAAGTATCCTAGTTACTTTACCTTTATGTCAAATAAATCAACAGGCCTGATCCAACAGGATGGTGATTTTCAACGGGTGTTCCGCAAGAAATTTTAAGACACGCAATACCTGACTATATATATTCAGGGGCACTGATCTCTTTTCCCTCAGATTGTCAAATGAAAAGTGACAATAGCCAATACAACAATAGCCATCTAGTGTGAATGCCCTGTCTTGAATCATAAATATATAGTCACAAAATAGATTTGCATTTTATTGGCCATGTTGCAAAATAAGGATGCATCCAACTGGTTAATTCTTGGTACCAGAAATCCTTATATTTAAGTATAATATAAGCACCTGATTTTTTAAAAAGTCACTTCGGAGCAAAAAGGGTAGGTAATTATTACGATTTCCCTTGTAAATCAATCAAAATTACACTTTTTTTTGTCAGATCGGCAAAAAAATATATTTTTTGACGTGCTGCAGAATTTTAATAGTTTATGCGTGCCATGGGATGAAAAAGGTTGAAAATTTCTGCAAGAGGACATTGGTTCTTTCTCTTTATTATTTTACAGATGTAATAATTAGATAAGGTAAGGGCTTGAACATGTGACTATACTGACAGATGGTAGGTCTTATTTGCTGGCAACAGTATGCGACTACCCATCTGTCTTGGATATGATCACACAGGGTATTAGATGTACCAAAATACTAATCTCTCAACAACAGAGTGCCAAGGTTTTCGGGAATTAATACTGAATCAGACTGTAGGGAATTATAGAGTAAATAGAAAGTACGTTCTCCAAGCTACCAGAGCTCATATCAAGGTCAGGAGATAATAACATTCTTCTTCTTTTTTTTCATCCTCACTTGAGGACATTTTTTTCCCATTGCTTTTAGAGAGAGGGAAGGAGAGGAGAGAGAGAGGAAAAAAAAAAACCATTGATTGGTTGCCTTCTCATACACACCCAGAATAGGGATTGCACCTGCAACCTGGCTATGTGCCCTGACTGGAAATCAAATCCATGACCTTTCCATCCATGGGACGACGTTCCAACCAACTGAGTCACAATGGCCAGGGCAATAATGACATTCTTCAATGTATACATAAATACGCACAGAGGACTACAGAGGGTAGCTGACTACTTGATGGTTCTGAAGCATGACTCTACGAACAGAGTCAGTATTTTTGTGAGCTCTATGAATAAAGTGAGAAGCAAAATTAAGAAATAATTTCCTCTTTGCACAACGCTTTGCCATTCTAATCCCAGCGGGCATACAGGACACTGATCATAATTCCTCCAAATCTGCTTCTGTCTCTACTATCCTTTTCCTTAGCAAACAATAACTAATTGAATAGCCTGAGAGTTATCCTAAACTCTTCCTTCTTCCTCCAGCCTCACACTCAATTAATCGCCAGGGCCTGAGAACTCCACTCCAAAAGGTCCCTTGAATTTACCCTGTTTATTCTTACCCTGTTAAATTCACTAATTTAGTTTCAATCTTTTATCACTTCTAAAGTGAATTATTACAACCTCTCAAACAGTCTCCCCATCTTAAATGTAACCCTACTCTGGTTCATTTTGTACACACAGACCTGTTATCTGCAGGTAAAATCAGAACTTCTTAGAATGACCCTTCATAATGCAGACCTTACCTATATCTACCATCTTATCTCCTGTACCATATACTTTCCACCATATACCTCCTAGACATGGGCCAAAGTTACACTACTTTATAGTTGCTTGAAGAATTATTGGTCTTAAGGGAGTAGAGCACAATGGCTCTGAGGTCAGTGGTGGATGAGTGACGGACCCCCCCTCCCCCATTTACTAGCTGTGACCACAGGCAAGTGACTGAACAGCTCTTTGTCTTGGTTTTCTCATTTGTCAATCTTACCTCCAGACCGTTGTAAGAATAAAATAAAATGGGCACAGTATATTAACTAAGTTTTATTATGCTATTATTTCCTTTGCCTTTCCGTTTTACATGGTTCTGTCTATTGGAGGGATGCTCCGCTGCCATCTTCCTTTCCCAGGCTACGCAGATTCTCTTCACCCTTCCCTTGATGTGCTCTGCTACTTTCTCCCCAGTGCCAGGATCAATCTCAGCACACCTTCTCTCTGTTCCCACAGCACCTTATGCTCAGTCCAACTGCAGCCCTATCACAGCAGCTTTCCCTCTAGACTAAAAACTCCATGATTGCTGGAACTGGATTTCATTGTACAAGGACTCAACACAGGGCCAATACACAGAGTACACTCATTAAATGTTTGCTGAAGAAATGAATCATCTCTTCTGAGGCCTCACTTGGAGGATCCTTCTAACCTCTAAGAAAGAGCTATTACCATAGGAGAGATTCTTTATCATTCTCTTCAAATGACTTCTAAATTTTCTCTTAGTGACCCAGCCTATAGCAGAAGCCACAAAGAGATGAGTTAAAAGATCTGTCACTAACTTTTTTTAAGTTTAGTTTTAATTTTTTTAATCTTCACCCAAGGGCACGCTTACTGATTTTAGAGAGAGGGGAGGGCAGGGGATAGAGGGAGAGAAACATCAATCAGTTGCCTCTTGCATGCCCCCCGGGGGCTGGGGACTGAACCTGCAACTTAGGCATGTGCCCCCACCAGGAACTGAACCCGTGACCTTTTGGTTTACAGGATGACGCTCCAACCAACTGAGCCACACTGGCCAGGGCTGTCACTAACTCTTAAATAATCCATTCCATTAATAAGAATGTGATGAAAAACATAACATCTATGACTCATGGGAATGAAAACTATAAATTGTTAAAAATTTGAAATAAAAGCCAATGGTAAAGCACCCTTCAAACTCTAGAGACATGAACTGACAAGGTATGGGTCTACACATGTACTTTAAAGTGAGAATTACTATAAAGAGCTCATGGTCAAAGGAGTACAACTCAGCACATTACTCTTCACGTCGAAAAATCACTGTGACCATTCAAAAAGGTCTTACATCTTTAATTAAAAGGATATTATTGGTTTAGAGTATGAAAGCCATGAAGAGGAAAGGGGAAGGGAATACTTTGCATAGGATAAAAACAAAATTTATTTATACATTATAGAGATCTTAAATCATGCTTATTCTTTTATGGTAACAACCATTAAACTCCTCAAGAAGACAACATGTATTAAATCAAAACCTGTGTAATTGTCAACAGTCTTAATGATGGTCCATTTCTTCTATTACCACTATTATTGCTACTGCTACTACTACATATTGCAACAATTCCTTGCTATATTCTTACTAATATTTTTGTTTAAGCAGGTCATTTGAGAAATCATGTGACTTTTCATATATTTTCATATTTATATTATAGATAGGAGTTATGCTATCCAAAAGAAATATCTTATATTTATGTTTCAACAGTTACTTAAAACAAAAAGGCACTTACCACAACTTGTAGCACCTGTTCGTTGTGAAGTGAGGAGGAGGAGGAGGAGGAAGAGGAGGAAGAGGAGGACGAGGAGGACGAGGAAGAAGAGGAGGAAGAGGAGGATGAGGAGGAAGAATAAGGAGCAGAAGAGTCAGCCATCATTTGTGCTAAAGTCTGCATCAGCGTTTTCCCCAGGAGAAAAAAAGAGCTAAACATGGCAATTACACCAAACACCATTCCAAAATTGAACCTGTTAAAAGAAAAAATTGCAAAAAATGTACAATTCCTCACAATTCATGGACTAAAAAATTCATCAACCAGCTACATATCATAGCTTTAAAATGCGTAAAAATTTCAATAACCCTGTGTCTTTTTTCCTACTTGAACCTTACATCTGTAAGTGAAGCACAGACACTAGTCTCTTTAAGCTGTTTTAATAACTTACAATTCTCTCATAACTGGTGGTTGAATATTCTTCCCAATAAAAAGTTTGCTTCCTCTGCTTTTTCTCATTTACATAGCATTGTTCTGATTTTGTTCTCATACAGATTAAAGTTCTTTTGACATTACAGACATCCAGTCTTTCATCTACTAATTCTATTTGCATTTTATTTTTGCTGTATTTTACAATGAGTTTGAAGACTAACTTGGTAAACATTTTTTAAAAGATTTATTTATTTATTTTTGCCCTGGCTGGTGTGGCTCAGTGGACTGAATGCTGGCCTGTGAACCAAAGGGTCACTGGTTCAATTCCCACTCAGGGCACATGCCTGGGTTGCACGCTGGGTCCCCAGTGTGGGGTGCGTGGGGGGCAGCCACACATTGACATTTCTCCCCCTCTCTAAAAATAAAAAAAATCTTTAAAAAAATTTTATTTATTTTTAGAGAGGGGAAGGGAGGGAGATGAGAAGGAGAGAAACATCGATGGTTGCCTGTCACATGCCCCCAACCAGAGACCTGGCCTGCAACCCAGGTCTGTGCCCTGACCAGGAATTGAACCAGCAACCTTTTGCTTTGTGGAATGATACCCAACCCACTGAGTCATGCTGGTCAGGGCTAACATGGTAAAATTTAATGAGTTTTTTCTTGTACTGTTTTAATAAGTATGTTATCCTTCTATCCATTACATTTTCTAACTTTTTGTAAAGTTGTGTTTTCCAAGGAACTTGTCCATTTCATCTAAATTATTGAATTTTTAGGCACAGAATTGTTCAAAATAGTTTCACTTTTTAAAATGCCTGTAGAGTCTGTATTGATGTTCACTTTTTCAATTCTGATCTTTAGTTACCTGTATTCTCTTTTTTCTTCATCAGTCAAGGTAGGGGTTTATCAACTTATTAATATTGTCAAAGAACCAACTTTTGGCTTTGCTGAATTTCACTACTATATACTTTCTATTTCACTGATTTCTGCTCTTTTTTTCTTTGCTTTGATTTGCAGGTGTGTTTACTGCTTTTTGATGATCTGACTATTTATGTTTAGCTCTACTTCATTTGGAGCTAAATTTTTGACCGAAAGGAATTTAGACAAAGGCCCCCTATTCCCACATTAGAAATTCTCTCAACCACATAACCTGTTAGTCTCTAGGTGTCCCAGAGATCATCATAAACCACCTAACCATAAACACCACACACTCCTTGATTTTTTAAACATTTTTATTTTTTAAACTAAAGGGGTACGACTGACATTGCAAGGAGACTCCAGGACTCCAGTACTGCCATTTGGCTGGCAATTTCCCACTTGGTTTATACATATGCCTTACTGGTTGTTAAATATTTTAAAAATCCTTCCCCTGGAGGAGTATCTAAAAAGAAGTATAGAGAAAAATCTGCAGACTTTTGGGCCACCTATGACTCCCAGAACTCTTGTCCCTGTGTGTAACGATAGGGGAGAGAATTATCCAGGGCTATTTTCCTGATAAAAATGTTCCATATTTGTTTTGTTTTTCTATTAGTGTATAATGTACTGAATAAAGTACACATGTCTGAAATGTACAGCTCAATGAATTTTTACAAATGTGCACCCATGTGCCTACCACCCAGATCAAGATCTAGAACCTTGATTTTTATTTTTTAAAAGATTTTATTATATTTGTTTTTAGAGAGAGGGGAAGGGAGGGAGAAAGAGAGAGAGAGAGAGAAACATCGATGTGTGGTTGCATCTTGCTCACCCCCCCTACCGGGGACCTGGCCTGCAGCCCAGGCATGTGCCCTGACTGGGAATCGAACTGGTGACCATTTGGTTCACAGGCTGGCACTCAAACTACTGAGTCACACCAACTGGGGCTAGAACCTTGATTTTTAATGTATGCAAAAGCACAATGATGCAATCCTATAAGGTTATATAAAACCAGAAAGTTTTTATACTGTCCACATTTTAAAACTCAGTAGATTGGAAAATGATGGAAACAGTTCAGTTAACAAGCATTTCTCATAATCACAATGACTACTTTAAACCAAAAAGAGAAAATGAAGCATACCATTGGTAAAGCATCCTTGCTTTCCGCCGTCCCCAACTGTAAAAGGCACGATTGAAAACAGCAGTTTGCCATCTTATGTGGAAAGGGGAGATGCTCAATCCGTTGTTTTCCAGCCAATCTTCATACGAGTGCTTAAAATACACAGATGACTAAGAGAGAAAGGAAAGTTTCCCACCTTTCAATTTTGATGAACAACTTATAATGTTTAACAAAATTAAAAAATAGTCTTTTCTATAGGGAAGCAAGCTACTGACTGCCGAAATGCTCATAATTTTAAAGCTTTACGTTCATTCCTCAATATATTCAAGTAAGGGCCTCAGGCTACCTGGTGTGCTGAACTTAGGGTCTGGCAAACAATGGCCCATGGGCCAAATTTGGCCTACAGCTTGTTTCTGTACTGCCTATGAACTATGGATGATTTTTATTTTTAAGAGATTGTAAAAAGACAACAGAAAAACAAGAATATGTGACAGACACTATGTGGCCCACAAAGCCTAAAATACTACCTGACCCTTTACAGAAAAGTTTGCTGCCCTCTGCTTAGAATGGCATTGTCCAATAGAAATATGAGCCACAAATGCTAGCTATACATATAATTTTAAATTTTCTGGTAGCCAAATTTAAAAAAGTAAACAGATTAATTTAAATATATTTTCAACTCAAATCAATATAAAAAATATTGGAATGGGCGATGTCAGAGGAATAGCGGCATGAGAGATCCCCTTGGTCTCTCCCCTTGCAGTTTCAACACTTTGAACAGCTATAATTCAACATAGGGCTTCCTACTCAATGCACCAACACGTCCGGGAGATCTGCACATTGCAAAATCTAAAGGTGGGCAAATGGGAGCGAACCAGGGAGGTGAGAAAAGAGAAAAGCTAAGATGAGCCACAGATGCACCCCTGCAGCCAGGAGCTCACTGTGGTTTTCAGACAGAGAGGCGAGCAATCAGGCACTCCCTTCAGCCAGGAGGAGCAAAGAGATTTAATGAGCCTTCCTGCAGGAGTGGGCAGTATGAGCTGCAGCAGAGCCCAGCAGCCTGGGCAGGGACAGAGCACAAAGGTGCGCCCTTGGTTGTCTGGCAATCAGCATTCCACAGAGAAACACAGCCGCCGAGCCCGGCTGCCCCTTAACCTACCAGAGCTTGCCTCCTCTCACCCTCTGTGAGGGCGTGCAGAGCACCATTATCTGCAAAACCAAGAACTGGGACTAAGAATCACATTTTCCCCGAGTGACAGGCACACTCTGTGACGAATCTCAGGTTCAGGTGGAGGGGCATGGGGGACACCACTAAGGTCCACTGGTTGCCATTGCCAGGAGGGCAGAGCAACAGAAAAGGAGGCTGGGTTCCCCCAGCTCACCCACCCCCCATGCATCGCAGCTACACGGCCAGCTGCACCTGGCTGCGGGGACAGCACTGGGATTTCACGCATTTGGAGTCACATCACCCACTGAGTTCCCCTGCAGGGTTGGTCCCCTGGGACTGCGGTAACCAATCACAGGGGAGGCACCCACCTTCCCAGGGAGCACAGGCCATTTTCCACCTCCCTGCAGAGATCTGAAAAGCCAGAGAAGTGCAAAAAAGGTGTAGTCATACTTATATCTGACAAAATAAGATTTCAAAATAACAAACGTAACAAGAGACAAAGGTAGACATGTTATAATGATAAAAGGGACACTACATCAAGAAGACCTAACACTTCTCAATATATATACACTCAATCTGGGAGCACTGAAACGTATAAAGCAACTACTAACAGAAATAAAGGGAGAAACTGACACAAACGCAATCATAGTAGGGAACCTAAATACCCCATTGACAGCTACAGATAGATCATCCAAACAGGAAGTCAATAAAGAAACATCAGATTTATATGACACATTAGACCAAATGGACAAAATTGACATTTATAGAGCCTTTCATCCCAATCAAATTATACACTCTTATGCAGTGCACACAGGACATCCACAATACACCGTATGTTGGGACACAAAACTAGCCTCAACAAATTTAGTAAGATTGAAATCATACCAAGCATATTCTCTGACCACAATACTTTGAAATTAGAGCTCACCTGCCAAAAGGAACTAAAGAAACCTACAAATATGTAGGTTTAAACAATATACTAAAAACTGACTGGGTCAAAGAAATAAAAGGTGAGACCAAATGACACATAGAGACAAATGAGAATGACAATACGACATATCAAAACTTCTGGGATACAGCAAAGGCAGTAATAAAAGGGACGTTTATATCATTACAGGCTTATCTCAAGAAACAATAGAAATTTCAAGTAAACAACCTAATATTACAGCTTAACGAACTAGAAAAAGAAGAACAAAGGCAACCCAAAGTCAGCAGAGAAAGGAAATAATAAAAGTTAATGCAGACCTGAAAAAATTGGAGAACAAAAAGCTATACAAAAAATTAATACAACGGAGAGTTGGTTCTTTGAAAAGATTAATAAAATCGAGAAAGGCCCTGGCCAGGTAGCTCAGTTGGTTAGAGCATTGGCCCAATATGCCAAGGTTGCAAAAGTTCCATCTCAGGTCAGGGTACATACAAGAAACAACCAATGAATGCATAAATAAGTGGAACAACAAATCAACATTTCTCTCTCTGTCATAATACATTTTTAAAAATTAAAAAAAAATACAATTGACAAACCCCTAGCTATACTTGCTAAGGAAAAGAGAAAAGACTCATAAAAACAAAACTGGAAATGAAAGAGATGTTACCACAGACTGCACAATTATACAAAGAATTATATTAGAATACCATTAAAGACTAAAAGCCACCAAATTCAGTAACTTAGAAGAAATGGTTAAGTTCCTATAAATATATAATTTTCCTAAACTGAATCATGAAGAACTGGAAGATCTAAACAGACCAATCAACAGTGAGGGAATTGCAACAATTATCAAAAACCTCTCCCAAAATAAAAGTCCAGGAGCAGATGGCTTCACTAGTCAATTTTACTAAACATTCATAGATTTGATACCTATCCTTCTTAAACTCTGCCAAAAAACTGAAGAAGGGGCAATACTTCCTAACATTTTTTATGAGGCAACATAACCCTGATACCAAAACCTGGCAAGGATAACACGCAAAAAGAAAACTACAAACCAGTGTCTGTGATGAATACAGATACAAAAATCCTAAACAAAATACTAGCAAATCGAATACAACAATACATTAAAAAATAATACAGCATGATCAAGTGGGGGTTCATTCCAGGGGCACAAGGATGGTTCAACAGTGCAAATTGATCAGTATAATGCACCATTTTAACAAAACAAAGGATAAAAACCATATGAGCTTATCAAAAGATGCAGAAAAAGCAACTGATAAAATACTACATCCATTTAAGATAAAAAACCTAAACAAAATGTATAGGAGGAAAGTACATCAACATAATAAAGGCCATATATGACAAACCCTCAGCTAATATCATACTCAATGGTGAAAAACTGAAAGCTTTTCCTCTAAAATCACAAACAATACAAGGATGTCCACACTCACCACTCTTATTCAACATAGCTCTGGAAGTCCTAGCCAGAGCAATCAGACAAGAGAAAGAAATAAAAGGCATCCAAATTGGGAACAGAAAGTGTCACTTTTTGCAGATGACATGATTCTATATATAGTAATAAATCCTAAAGACTCTACCAAAAGCCCTGGCTGGTGTGGCCAGTGGATTGAATGCTGGCCTGTGAACCGAAGGGTCACTGGTTCAATTCCCACTCAGGGCACATGCCTGGGTTGCAGGCCAGGTCCCCAGTAGGGGGCACACAAGAGGCAACCACACATAGATATTTCTCTCCCTCTCTCTTTCCCTTCCCCTCTCTCTAAAAATAAATGAATAAAATCTTTTAAAAAAGACTCCACCAAAAAACTACTAGAAACAATAAACACACTAAAGTTGCAACATACAAAATCAATGTACAAAAATCTACTGAATTCCTATATACTAACAAAAAATTTTCAAAGAAGAAATTAAAAACAATTCCTTTCACAATTACAACAAAAAGAATAAAACACTCAGTAATAAACTTAACAAACCATGTGAAGAACCTATACACAGAAAACTACAAAACATTATCTAAAAAGATTGAAAAAGATTCAATGAAATGGAAAGATATTACATGTTCATGGACTGTAAGAAATAACAGTTAAAATGGCTATATTACCCAAAAAAATATACATTCAATGCAATCCCCATCAAAAATCCCAATGTCATTTTTTAAAATTTTCAAGATTTTATTTAAAGATTTATTTATTTATTTTTTAGAGAGGGGGGAAGGGAGGGATAAGGAGAGGGAGAGAAACATCAATGTGTGGTTGCCTCTCACGCATCCCCCCTGGGGACCTGGCCTGCAACCCAGGCATGTGCCCTGACTGGGAATTGAACTGGCAACCCCTTGGTTCACAGGCTGGCACTCAGTCCTCTGATCTACACCAACCAGGGCTGGGAATTGAACTGGTGACTCTTTGGTTCTCAGGCCAGTGCTCAATCCACGGAGCCACACCAGCCAGGGCCCAATGTCATGTAAAGAAACAGAACAAAAAATCATCAGATGTGTACAGAATGACAAAAGACCCTGAATAACCAAAGCAATTCTGAGAAAAAAGAACGAAGCTGAAGGTACCACACTATCTGATTTCATATTATGTTACAGAGCAATCATAATCAAAACAGTGTGGTACTGGCAGGAAAACAGACACACAGACCAATGGAACAGAACTGAGAGCCCAGAAATAAAACCACATGTACATGGGCAAATAATTTTTGATAAAGGAGCCACAAACACACAATGGAGAAAAGAAAACCTCTTTGAAAAATGGCACTGGGAAAACTGGAGAGCCACATGCAAAAGAATGAAACTAGACTACAGTTTGTTCCCATGTACAAAAATTAATTCAAAATGGATCAAAGACCTAAATATAAGATCTTAAACAATATATTACATAGAAGAAAGCATAGGTACTAAACTCATGGACTTCGGTCTTAGAGAAGATTTTATGAATTTGACCCCAAAGGCAAGGGAAAAATAAATGAATGGGATTATATTAAGTTAACAAGCTTCTGCACAGCAAAAGAAATTGCTAACAAAACAAAAAGGCAACCAACTGAATGGAAAATGGTATTTGGTAACAATGGCTCTGACAAAAGGTTAATATCCCAAATTATAAAGAACTCATTCAACTCAACACCAAACAAAAATATCCAACTAAAAAATGGGCAGAGGACCTGAACAGATCCTCCTCCCAAGAAGACATACAAATGGCCAACAGACATATGAAAAGATGATCAACCTCACTAGCTATTAGAGAAATGCAAATCAAAACTACAATGAGATACCACCTCACACCTCTCAGAATGGCTATTATCAACAAGACAAGTAATAAGTGTTAGAGAGGTGGTAGAGAAACAGGAACTCTCATTCATTGCTGGTGGGAATGTAAACTGGTATAGTCACTATGGAAAACAGTATGGAGGTTCCTCCAGAAATTAAGGATCGCATTACCATATGGCCCAGCAATCCCTCTTCTGTGTATCTACCTGAAAAACCTGAAAACATTTATTTGCAAAGATATTTGCCCTCCCATGTTCACTGCAGCGCTATTCATGGTGGCCAAGATATTGAAACCACCTAAGTGTTCTTCAGCAGATGAATGGATAAAGAAGATGCGGTAACATATACAAGATCTGTCCAGAAGGTATCTGCCCATGTAATATGAAAAAGATATTTCTTTTTCATTTAAGAAATTTAAGATATTGGGACCTCATTATTATGCTAAGTGAAGTCAGGCAGAGAAAGCTAAGAACCATATGATTTCACTCATAGTGGGATATAAAACTGGAACTCACAGACACAGACAACAATATGGCGGTTACTGGAGGGAATGGGGGTTGGGATAGTAAAGAGTAAGGGGGCCAAATATATGCTGATGGAAGATGATTTGACTTTGGGTGGTGGGCTCACAATGCAATATACAGGTCATATAGCAGAAATCTACACTTGAAACCTATATAGTCTTATTAACCAATGTTACCCCAATAAATAAAAATAAAAATAATTTACAATTCTATTTATTTACTTACACACTCAGTCTTTGAAGTCCAGTTTCGACTTTCTACTTATAGCCCATCTCAATTCAGACTAGCCCCATTTCAAATGCTTGATGGCCACATGCAGTTAGTGGATACCACATTGGACAGAGAGGTCTAGAAGCCTTGTTACCATAGAAAAAGGTTTCGTGTTATCATTTAAAAAGATCCCAACCAATCCAAGAGAGAGGGCAGGTTAGTTGGAATCAGTGCTTTCTATTCTTTTCTGAGCAACAACCCTGAGAAATTAGGCCAACTTTGATCATGTAAAAAGTACAAGACTTATCTAAAGCCATCTTGGTCTCAGTAACTTCTCTTACATTCTTCAAGGTTGGGGGGGATAGCTATTTATATACAGCCTAACAAGAGTTTATCTTTAGGGAAATTTGAAGTCCTTGAGTAAAAATTTTGAATAATGTTAAGACTGTTTAATATACACTGCCACTGACCCGTATTACCTCAGTTACAGAAAGTATAAGTATTTTGTCATATCAATGTCTATTCCTTTGAGAAACTTATCTGTCTCTAGAAGAGTATTTCACCCCTACCACAGTCATAAAAAATGACTTAAGTCTGAACATAGGTATCCGTTTGCCTTTGGACCTGTACTGTTCTCTGCTCTCAAACTTCCAGTGAAGTTTTGAAACCTGCTTGTTTTCCAAACTTGGAAAATGCAGAGTGACAAACCTGTTCAGCAGATGTCTACTGAGGAAATCCTAGTGGAACCAAGGGTAGAATAGCAGACCATGTAGGAAACAGAGGAGGTGAAGGTGCAGGCTCTGAAAACTGAGGTTTCTGCATGTCCCAGGCAGATAGTTTGAATGACAGGTATTTTGCTCCAGTAACAGTGCTATCTTAGGATGCCAGTGGCTGTTACTGAAATTAAAATGCAACCCTGATCACCTCGCACACTTGACCAGAAACTACAGAGGTTTTAAAAACTCTTTTTATTCTGGACTTTTGTCATAGGGTCAACATGAAGAAATCATGTGGCTTTGTGTTTTCTAAACAACAAAATCACTGTTTAAAGTAGTGGCCTGTATTGCTTATGACATGCTAAGCACTATGCCAAGTGCAGAGGAAGCATCTGGGGGATCTTGTGAAGATCCAGATTCTGATTCTGTAGTCTTGGGATGAGGACTGAGATTCTGCATTTCTGAGAAGCTTCCAGATGATGCAAGTGCTGCTAGTCCTTGAACCACAGGCTGAATACAAAGCTTTATGTAGATGAACTAATGCAATCTTCTCTACAATATCAGGAAATCTTTGCTATTATTACCCCTATATTAAAGATGAAGAAACTGAGGCACAAGAGAGCAATTTGCCCAAGGTCACAACTACCAGGAAGCGGGAAGAGGCCAGTCCTTGCTCTAAGGACTCCACTGTGTAACCTTACTTTCCAAGTTCAAATGCAACAAGGAAGCACACGGATCATTTCATTTTACTATTAAACCTAAACACCCACAACTTAAACTATTTTAAACGGTATTTGTAACATGGCTTTACATTCATAATTGGAATTTTTATTAAACATTTGAGAATATATATGATTTTATTCCACAGTTACCCTCACCCTCCAATATTCAATTTCAAAGTTTGCATGAAGCATGTGGTCAAATGTTCCTAGTTTTTGCAACCTTTCTCAAATAACTGGAAAGTGGATCATGCACCCAGTGTGCGTGTGTGGGTGGGAGGAGTTACTGTGAAAAAGGGGTGCAGGGCGCAAATGAGAATTCGAGAAGTCAGGAACAAGTTATCCAAATCTTTTCTAAGTATTTGCTACTTTGAAGTATGGGTTGTAGACTAGCAAACAGCATTGGTAGCGCTTGGGAACCGGTTAGAACAGTCTTAGGCTCCGCCCCAGACCGGATGAATCCAGATAATGTGCATTTTAACCGGAACCCCAGAAGATAATGTGTATTTTAAAGTGTGAGACCACTTATGTAAATCACAACTTCATTTAGATTCATTTCAAAGCCAGTCTCTAAAGTGTCGTGCCTTAAAGACAATGAAGGGGAAACAATGCCCTTCCTAAGCGGACATTTTATATTCCTCCCTGGGGCACTGCCGCGGATTATGGCAGGGCGCAGTCCCTCCCAAGACCACTACCGTGGCCTCCGGGCCAGACCCGAAGGCTGCGGGGCGTGCACCGCCCCGCAATGCGGCTGCGGCTGCTGCATCGACCGCCACACCCCTCCCGCGGCCTGCCAAAATTACACCAGGGGCCCGCGCACCACGCGGACGGCCGCACGTGGGCACCGGCCGCGGGGCTTCCAGCCCGGGAGGCGCGAAGTAGAAGAGAAAAGGCCTCGGGCCTTGAGCCCCGGCCCTGGGTACCGCGGGGCTTGGGCCGTCGACCCGTGGCCCTCACCTTCAGCACCAAGTCGGTCAGGTAGACGGCAGTCCAGCCGCCCACCACCACCACCACCAGCGACACCGGAATCATGGTAGCAGCGGAGGCAAGGCGAGCCACGGCGTCCTCCTCCCTCCGAGCCGTGCAACGAACCGACCGCCCGGTGCCTACAATCACACCATCTGCGCAGGAACAAACCTGCTACCGGCTCCTTTCTCGTGGTGGTGCTGTTTCCCACCGGACTCTTCCGGTTAAACACAGACAGCCGCGTACGAGCCGGAAAGGGAGGCGGGGGCTTATTTTTGTGGGGCACTGAGGCGTCGATGTCCCTGCTTCAGTTCGGCTGCAGCTGTCAGCCCTCTAGTGATTTCTTAGGATTTGTCCCTCCCTGCTGTCTGCTCTGCATTCTCTTCGGTTCTGTTCGGGGGTTTGCTGTTCCTTTTAACCTAGTGAGGACAGTCGTCTGCACCTCCCATACCTTATTATAGGTACCCAGGTTTAAGTTAATTTCTTTTATTCTTTTTATTGAAGTGTAATTTACATATAGCAAAATCATCATACAGCTCTCAGCTGTTCATTTTGATGAGTTTTAATAACTATCTGTGTACGCTAGTCAAAATAAAGAGAATTTCCATCTCAGTGATTTCCTTCCTGGTCAATTCCCCTCCTTCTTTATGTAGATAGCATCATACAATAGATACTCTTTTGTGTCTGGCTTATTTTGCTCAGCATAAATACAGGGTGGGGCAAAGGTAGGTTTACAGTTCATATGGAAAATAATACAATAATAAGTAATACCGGAACAAACTTTCACATACTCGCAACTGTACACCTACTTTTGCCTAACCCTGTATTTTAAAGCTGTAGGGGAGCAGAATTTGCGACCCCAAAATATTATTTTTTGGCATGTTATTTTATTTTTTTTAAAGATTGTATTTATTTATTTATAGAGAGGGGAAGGGAGGGAGAAAGAGAGGGAGAGAAACATCAATGTGTGGTTGCCTCTTGTGCACCCCCCCACCTGGGACCTGGCCTGCAACTCGGGCATGTGCTCTGACTGGGAATCGAACCAGCAACCCTTTGCTTCGCAGTCCGGGGCTCAATCCACTGAGCCACACCAGCCAGGGCTCGCATATTATTTTAAACTATTACAAAATAAACAGAAATAAGAGGAGCTCTGAAAACCAAGTAGAAGTTACCCTTTTGTAAGAGACCTTTACATTTATAAAGGGAATCTTCATTTGCAAAGGCATCTCTCTCTCTCTGTGCCAGGAAGAGTAGGATGAATAAATATCTAGAAACGTTATCAATGGAGAAGGCAAAGACTTAAATCTGCATAACAACCTTACCCTTGTTTACTGTGCCTTCCATAACTGGCCTCCTCCTCATGCCCAACATCTTTTCTCTTCAGCTGGAGGTGGTATTTAAGGTGGTGGCTTCAGCTATTTTGGGGACTTAGTTTTATTGGCTCTGCAGGTTATTAAACTTTTGATTGTTTTGTTCCTGTTGTTCTGTCTCAGGTCAATTTAATTCTTAGACCAGCCAGAGGGACCTAGAAGAGAAGAGGAAAAAACTTTCCTCCCTGATTGCGCTTTATCCATGCTGTCAATTAAATTAGATTCTTTTCTCAACCTCTTCTATTAAAAAAATTTAAGATTGGTGTTATGGTAAAAAAAAAAATGGAGTTCCAGACATTTTAATATGTTTTTATGTTGACATATACTTGAGTATATACTGACCTGGTGTAGTGGGTCTTAACCTTGGTTGTGCATAAGGATCACTAGGGGAATTTTAAAATTACTTTTTAAAATTTTGGAGCCCAGAGCAATTGAATTAAATTGCAGAGCAGCGTGAAACCCACACATTAGTATTTTTTCTTCCCAAGAACTAGTATGTTTTTTTCAAACCCAGAAGCTGTAAAGTAAAATATTGACTATATGACTATATTAAACATTTAAGAATATAGAGTAATATATATTTAAAAAGTTAAAGGACAAATAATAGAATGGGAAGGTATTCACAACACATTAAACTAAAATAAGGTTAATAGTTTTTTGTGTTTTTTTTAGGGAAAAAATTCTACATTTAGTCAAAAAATGGATAAAGAATACCAAAAAGTCATTTAAAGCCTTTTTAAAATAATAGAAATAGGTAAGAAATATATAAAAGCAGGTTTAGTTTTAACAAATAACAAACACTTAAAATAAGATCATCATCACAATCAGTTTAGTAAGTATTAAAAATATTGGTAATATCAAGTATTGGTGACTGTGAAAGGAACTGGGTATTCATAGACTCTTTTTCTTCATCTTCTTAAAGCAGTCCCTTTAGCATATCTTGCAATGCTGGTTTGGTGGAGGTGTATTCTTTTAACCTTCTTTTGTCTGGGAAACTCCTTATTTTGCCTTACATTTTAATTGAGAGTCTTGCTGGGTAGAGCAGTCTTGGTTGCAGGCCTTTGCTTTTCATGACTTGGAATATTTCTTGCCAGTCCCTTCTGGCTTGGAGTGTTTCTGCTGAGAAGCCAGCTGCTAGCCGTATCGGGGCTCCCTTGTATGTTACTACCTCTTTCTCCCTTGCTTCCTTTAGGATTCTCTGTTTGTCTTTGATGTTTGCCATTGTAATGATGATGTGTCTTGGCATGGGCCTCACTGGGTTCCTCTTGAATGGGACTCTCTGTGCTTCCTGGACTTGTGTGACTTTTTCTCTCCTCGAATTAGGGAAGTTTTCCCTCATTACTTTTCCAAACAGGGTCTCTATCCCTTGCTCTTCTTCTCCTTCTGGTATCCCTATTATATGGATATTATTACGTTTCAGGTTGTCTTGCATTTCTCTAAACACCTCTTCATTCTTTCTGAGTCTTTTCATTTTCTTGCTCTTTCTGGGAGCTTTTTTCTACCTTATCCTCCAGCTCACTCATTCATTCCTTGGCTTCATCTAGCCTGCTTCTACTGTATTCTTCAATTCAGAAATTATATTCTTCATTTCCTCTTGTCTCTTTTTGATAGTTTCTATGTCCTTTTTCATGCTGATATAGTTTGCAGTAAGTTCCTCGTAGTTTCCCTGTAGTTTTTGGTAATTCTCTCTGAGCTCACTGAGCTCATTGAGTTTCCTTAGAACCATTGTTTTGAACTCAATATCTGATAGTTTACTTGCCTCTATTTCATTTAGTTCTTTTTCTGGGCATTCCTCTTTTCCCTTTGACTGGGAGGTGTTTCTTTGTCTTCCCATTATTTGTGAGACTCTTCTCTTTTGCTTCTGCTTCTTAAGTTGATCTGTCTTGATTTCCTGACTTTGTGGTGTGAACTTCTATGGTAGGAGACTGCTGTTTTTTCTTTCTGGATCTGCCTCTGATGATGTCAGATGCTGACCCTGTCTGACCTTAGGCAGTCTCTTTGAGACTTCCAGGAATCTACTGTCTGTGGCTGTCTCCTTTGGTTGTTATTCTCTATTTTTTAAAACTTCTTATGTTATTCTACTGTGCTGCCAAGATTGAAAACTACTGAACTAGATGGTCTCCAATGGGAAGGAAAGCTAATATTTATGAAGTGTTTTTCTGCATTCTTTTAATGTCCAAATCTCTAAAAGTTATTTGTTTTAACTTTTCTGGAAAAGCATCATCAATAAAAATACTAATACCCAAATACTGAGAACATACTACTGTCCTAAGGACAAGTATCCCAAATAAAAATGCACTTCCAAAACATCCTCTAAAGTAAAAATAAAGTGTAATACTAGAGACCTGTATTACAGATATTGCTAGTTTGTCTCATTTTCCATACTTTAACTAGAGTTTTAATAATTTAGCACCATAACTCTCTAGCTTCAAGAACCCTTATGATATATCTTCTTGTATACCTGTGTGTATATGTGTTGTTATAAACTGTTCTAATTTATTTTGGACATAGCTTGGCATAAATTATAAGAGTTTATACTCAAGCATCCTATGATTCCCCAGTTTTCCATGTATAGGTGTTCCAAAGGCCTCAGTGCAGTTTTAGGCTTTGATAATTTCAGAAGTATAAATGCTATATACTTAGAAAAAGCCTCACCTGAATGTTTACTTAAATTTTTTATACTTAGTCACTTTGTGAATTTTGAATATTTTCATTTTAAAAATATTTTATTTATTTATTCTAAAGAGAGAGGAAGGGAGGGAGAGAGAGAGGGAGAGAAACATTGATGTGTGAGAGAAACATTGATGTGTTGCCTCTTGTACACCCCCAACCGAGGACCCAGGCAAGTGCCCTGCCTGGGAATCAAAACGGTGACCTTTGGTTTGCCAAACAATGCCCAACCCACCAAGCCACACCAGTTAGGGAGAATTTTGAATAAATTTCAAATATTTAGGCCCCCTAATTGAGGATGTTAAACACTGGCTGAAAAAAAATTGAAACATGTTTACTGTTCAAAAATTTCTAAGATCAAATAAGGATGAAAGAAATTTAAATAATTTTACTTTCAAATAATGTTTTGTATAAATTTGTAGAATTTGTACTTCTGAAATTATTAAAGCCTAAAACTACACTAACATTATTGGTACACTATTGTATTTGAACTGACCTTTGCTCTTATATAATTTCCATTGTTTTTAATACTGTTTTTCCCTGGGAGGAGAACATTAATTTAATAATTGAAATGTCTTTTGTTACCCTGAGGCCTTGTCTGGACCACTTGCTGGGACAAGTACCAGCTGCTATGTGGCTATCTGATTACCCAAAGCATGTAGGAAATAAGTTGATTGGGTTTTTCTGTTCAAAACCTAAAAATCTACTTATTCAACTGACTTGGTGTTCTCATCAGGGACCCAGCAGTCAAAACAGAACACTGAATTGAATCCTGCTGGTTTCTGGAATTCAGCAGTAGTGGAAGCCAGCTGGTGGCAGCAGAAGAGACAAGATAGAGGATGCAAGATGGCAGCAAAAAACATGCCTGAATTCCATAAGATCAAGGTGTTCCTCCTCATGTAAGTATTTTAAGTAAAGGGCACATAGCCAAGCTTTTATTCATATTACTTTTATTTAGTATTTTTTAGATGGGCAAATAAATATACATTTTGGCTGAATGCAAAATAGCTACATATTAAAGATCAATATTTGGCTGAAGCAGAATATCACCATCTTATAATAAACTTCTAAGATACCAGAATCAACATGAAATATTAAAATTAGATATTAATTTTAAAACTTATTACAATTTCACTATT